CTCTCTCTCTCTCTCTCTCTCTCTCTCTCTCTCTCTCTCTCTCTCATCAACACCAACATTAATTTTCACAGGACAAGGACAACTGCATAATCTGGAGAACAAGGATGGATATGGTGTTCCTTTTAACCTTTGCTAGATAAAAGCCAAGTCATCAAGAGAGTGGGTCCAATTCCCACTGAAGAAAGAAGTGTAAGCAAAGGCAGGTTGCTTACCTGTAACTGTCGTTCTTCGAGTGGTCATCTGTGCATTCACACATTATGGGTGCTGCACCTGTGCAGTGCCTGTTGCCAGGAAGATTTAAGAGCTTTAACAGTTTTTGGCAGGAACTTCACACCCTCCCCCACCCCGTAGTATAAATGGTCGGAGTGCCTGCCCTTTCCCCAGTCAGCTGAAGACCATTTGTTCACTCCCAGGCAGAGCTGGCCGGTATCAAACACGGTTTATAAGGGATAAAAAGTATAGAAATAAATACATGTGTGTGTGTGTGTACAAACACACACACACAGTCATATAGTATACCCAGTCACTGTCTTGGTTGTCTTGGTTGGCATCTATGCATTGTTGAATGTCAGTCTCCAATGATTTTGCCATCCGCGCGAGTAGCTCAGAGAAGTTACCCTGGGAGTCGCCCGGAGACCCAGGACCTTGGGTGGAGATAACAGCATCGAGAGAAATAGAGACTTTTTGGGAGTCCTTCGAATCCAAGTCGGATCCATAGGGTAGACTGGATGAGGACCCACCGGGAGCCATTGGTGGACGGGTGAGTGTCACAGCAGATGTCGATGGGGTGTCTTTCGACACCGAGTGAGGGGTTGAGGGATGAGGACACATTGGTGGAGGTGGGTAATAACCGTGTGGGGGGGTAATTATCCCATGGATAGGGTCGCTCCATACAGTCAGGGTCGAATTCTATGTAGGGTAGAGGAACCCAGTACTGCGATGGTTGTGGTGCAGAAGGCTGGGGTGGTAAGAGGGAGGATGGGCGTTGAGGCGCCCTTGAAGAGCCCTCCGGAGATTATTGCCGCACAGGGGTAGGAGTGGACGATCTTGCAGGCAGATGATCTGGTTCCAACTGGGAAGGAGATTCATGGATCTCTCCATCAGAAATCGAAGCTCTCGCCAAGGGATCGGAGCAGTCGGGACCTGGAGTGTAGCGAAGTTGTAATCTGCAGAAGTGCCAGTGGAGGTATCACCTACGTAATTGATTAGTGGCTCGGTGGCTCAGTCAGAACCAAAACTGGAATCGAAATCAGTGCAGCACTCGGTTCAGAGCAGGGCACTTTGTCACGCTTCTTGTGCCGACGCTTGGATTGTTGGGTTTGTCCTTTTTAGGATGGTTTGGTTTCAAGGATTCCTTGGACCCGAAATGCTTCCTCTTCTCCTTATGTTTGCGAGGAGGGGAATAAGAGGAATGCTTTCCATCTGTGCTGACAAAATCCCCTTCAGATGAGCAAGGGGGATGGATTTTGATGGTCCTGAAGCTGCGAAAGAGCTCGCATCAGCCAAGACCTGCTTTATGGTGACCAGTGCACAGCCCAGTCTCACGGTTTTTGTGAGCCTGCCTGATGAATGACTGGCAGTGGCTGCACTTGTCAGTCCTGTGCCCTTCTCTAAGGCAGAGAAAACACAGATTGTGAGGATCAGTGGGAGACAGTTTGACTCCACACGGGGAACACTTACAGAAGGCTGCCCGCTGTGCCATCAAGAAGAAGAGAGGAAGACAGCGAACAGAGATAGTTTGTTGGAGAAGTAAGGTCAATAGAGAAGTGTGTGCGTGTGTGTTTAATTATTATTCGGAGAGGGTAAAGGGAAGGGGGAAGAACACGAAATAAAGGTAGGGGTTCGGTAAGGGTGAACAATAGGATTTAGGATACATAGTGGAGTTTAAAGAGAAGGAAAAAGTTTAAGATTTCCAGGATTAACAATTGAAAAGATGAGAGACAAGTGAAGAAAAAGGCCCAAGGCACAGTGAAAGACGGTCACAAGCAGACTGGGGAAAGGGCGAGCACTCTGACCATTTATACTACTGCGGGGCGGGGGGCGTGAGGGCACAGAGTTCCCAGCAAAAACCATTAAGCTCTTAAATCTTCCCGGCAACAGGCACTGTGTAGGCGCAGCACCCATAATGTGTGATGCACGGAGACCATGATGAAGAACACTGCTTGCCAACTGGACAGGTTTTTGCTCTCATTACACACTGCTAACTCACACCGAGGGGAGGGTAACTCTGCTTTGCCGCCCTGTGCTAAGGTTCTCCAGTAAAGAAACCTGAAGCTGCTTCTTTGTGGGAGCTCACCTGACTTGAATGCTCCTCTATTCCACCTCTTACACCTCCTAGAAAAAGATAAACTGCCTTGCAGGAAACAAGGGTGGGATATATATAAATAAATAAAACAGATCAATCCAGATCCTTTGCACATGGTAGGCATGTCATCAGTGGAGCCAGCTGGAGCCAGGGGTCAGACGGGATGGCCAGGGAGGCCCCTTCTAACTCTGTTTCTATGTTTCTAATCTGGTCTTCTATACTTGTGGCCAGCATGTTGGGGAGCTGGCTAGCTTAGAAGTTTCTTTCCTGATCTCTTGTATGTGCAGGGAGTCACTACTCAGGGTATCATCCACAGCTATGACTGACTTTCCAGGATCACATGTCTCTTGTTAGTGCAAAATCATTCTGTTCAGAACAGGTACCAGATGCTTTAATTGTTGTCACCTATTGAGAAATATATAGCATTGCCCAATATTAGAAATGGAACAAGAGGACATATGAACTATGGGCTCTTATATAGAAAATAATGAATGTTTAAGGTACCTTGATGAAGTAGTTCATTCCAGCAACCACCTGTGTTTTGAACTCAACAGCATCGAAGACCTCAAAACGCTTGCCTTCTTTTTCTTCCACCTGTGGCTTCACCTTAGGGAACAGACGTGGGGGGGGGGAGTGGTTTGCTAGGCAATGTGCAAGATCTCCATTCTTTGGATTCTTAAAAACATGGTCAATATTTAAACCACAAATCTAGAAGTGAAACTTGCCAAAAGGATCATGTGATGTCAGTATTTCATCAGCTCCACTGCTTTCTAGCCTTTGTCTGAACCCACATTGTGGGGATTTTAGCAGATTTACCTTTAAAGCCCAGCATGTCCCAGGGCCAGAGTATCTAAAGGAATATCTCTTCCCCCATGTCCCTCCTCAGAACCTTAGGTCTTCTTCAGAGGCCCTCTTCCAGGTGCCTTGCCCAAAGGAAGCTACACCTCTAGATACAGTAGAGGGCCTTTCCAATTGTGGCACCCTGTTGATGAAATACCCTTCCCAAGGAGGTTCAGGGATGGCCTGTGTGGTTTCTGGCACCAAGCAAAGACCTTTCTTTTCTACCAGGCATTTTACAGACTTAATTCTAATTTTTTATGCCTGTTTCATCTATTTCTGTGCTGATGGTTTTGCACTGTATTTTATATTTGCAACTGTTTGTAATGGCATTTTAGAATTAACTGTCTGTATTCTACCCAGGCAAAGTTGGTTATTGGATGGATGAACATTTAATAATTTTATTAAAAAAGCACTGAGTTATCAAAATATACATGCCACAGGGGGGACCTGTCTTCTCTCCTATTCAATTTTAGAAAGCAATGTAGTGTATGCTGGCAGACCACTTTAAAAGATAAACTAACACCAATCCTCATGAAAGTGTTCTGCTTAACCTTTGATTTCTGTACTTAATTTGAAGTTCTATTTTTACTCTTTAAAACTTTAAACAGTAAAGGCCTAGAATGTTTGAAGAAATTCCTCCTCCCATATGTGCTTCCTAAACCTGTGAACTGAGAAAGACCCTACTACAGGACTCCCAAACCCAGCTGATTTTTAGTAGGTGGAAACTATGGACAGGTCCTTCCCCATGCAAATCCTGCCAGTTTGCTCCAAGTTTTAAAAACAAGTATTAATAATAAGTCCATTTAATGAAGTTTTTATTAGCTAGGCTGGCATTCCTAAGAATCGAGACAATAAGAAGAATGGTAAGGCACAGAAGCAAGACAAGTGATGCTGCCAGTTGCACATTCCAGCCCCAGCCCATGCGCAAGATCACCGACCACAGAAGAAAAAGAAACAGCCTAGCAAGGAACATCCTCACCCGCGTGGACAAAGCAATGCAGTGCAGAAGGAACACAGTCTCATTCAGCTGGACAAATGAATCACTATCATGAATCACCACCACATTTTTTCCCCCCATTCCTCCCTCCCAGCCCCTTTCCTTGTGACTTCTTTTTAGATCAGGAACTTGAGGGTAGGGCAGTTCTTATAGTTGCTCTTTGAGTCTTTGGACTGACCAGTGGGGATAATAAAAATGCTTTGAATTGATAAGCAAAACATTATTTGAAAAAGCAGCCACTAAAATTAGAGGAAAGTCACATTCTTCAATTAGGTACCACCTGAAGATTAGGTGTCACAACCAGAATATTATGCTATTTCATTTCCCCCTTCTATATATGATGGATGAGCTATCAAGTCAAAGGAGCTAGAAAATGTGCGAGTTGTACACTGCCTGTTCACCCAAGCCAGTTTGACAATTGTCCGAGGGCAGCAGAGATTGTCAGCAGAGTCTGAAAGCAAAGGATTGGGTCTGTTGGGTGAGTCACAGTCACATGCAACCTCAAGCTGCAGACAATTCCTTCTGTATCAGACAGTTCCTACCTTAAAGGCAAATGTCCAACTGAAAGAGGGGGGAAAGAGAGGAACTCACAACTGCCTTCAAACACATTTCATAGTAAGCCAGAAGGCCTCTTCCCATTCTCTTTCATTGACCAGATTGAAGTTGGTTGATAGTTCCCATTTCATATTCTTAGCTTGCACACAAATTCAAAGTAGCTGAATGAGCAGTCTGGGGGGGGGGGGCAAACCTCAAGTTTATATGCTCGTGCACCTCAAAATCATGACTGGTCTATTGCAATATATCATGCATCTTCATGACTAAGGTGTTCCCTTCCAAATGAAAACACTTGACAGTATTTTGAGCCAAAAAAAGTAGTGGGTTTTAAATACTGGGAATATTAGGGAGGATCATGAAAGCATCATGAAAGTGTGACTGCAGGATTTGGTCAAGGTGCATGCTCAGGAGGGTGCAGCTTGTGGTACTCAAAAGTTGTTGGGCAGCAACTCCCATTAGCCCTGCCCACCATAGCAAACAATGACGGAACATGGGAGTTACAGTCCGGCAACACAGGACCACAAATTGATCCTCTGCTTTTAGAAGCGCTAAGCCTGAGGGGTCCCGGAAGTATCTGGGCCAGGGCCTACTTTCTTTCGTCTTTGCTACAACAAAACTTGACGGCGGAATGTCCGCCGGGGAAAGGGGATGGCTGCTCCTCAGGGGAGCCTCGGTGGCCGTGAAACGAAGCGCTAACAGCGGTCTCATTTAGCCTACGGGCGAACCCACCGCTAGACAAGCCTCTCTCCGGACTGCGCCCCAGCCCAGCCCTCCGGTGGCCTTCGCCAACTGCAGCAGCGCTCGGCACCCTCCGTACCTCCTGGACGATTTGCTGCGTCTCTGCCGTGGCCGGCTTGGCGTCGCTGGTGCCGCCGCACTTCATGCTTGCTGGCAGGGTCGCGGAGAGCAGCAGCAGCAGCCACTACGGACAGTCGAGCGGAGCAGCAGGACACGAAAGCGAGGCTGCTGCGTCCCAGCCCGCCCGTTGCACGCAGCCGAGCGGGGCGGCCCCTCAAGGAGGCGGCGCGGAGTGACGCGGAAAAGCTTGAGCTCCCGCTGGGCGGTCTGGGCTTAGCGCCCAGCGCGGGTTGGGCGCGGTAGGCGCTGCTGAGGCCGACGCAGAGCCCCCGCCGGCCTTTTTCGCCGCCGCCTTCGACGCGGGCACACCCAACGCCAACGCGCTCCCGTCGGCAGGGCGAGGCGCTGCGGGCAGCGGCTTTGCTGCGTGGCCCACTGCTAATATTTCAGTCGACCTGTTTGTAATTTTTTAACTTGGCTGCCCACCGCAACAGAAATTAGAAAAAGTGAGGAAGTTGTCTCTTTTTTAGAAAAGTCTTTTTATTTATATTAAACGTTAAAGAGTGCGACCAATTAATGAAGTGCGGCAATGCATGTGAACTTAAAGGGTCTTGCTAGTGAGAGTTTAGATAGAATGATCTTGGCTGCATTCTGGTCTGTGTTGGGTAAGGCACATTTTTGCTAAAATGAGGACCAGTGTGGCAGAGTGGTTAGAATGCTGGACTGGGGCTTGGAAGGTCTGGGTTCAAGTCCTCACATGGCCATGAAACAGGACTTCAAAAACTTCCTCACAAGGTAAAATGGAGGAATAGGTGCATGTTTGCTCCACTGGATCTCTTGCAGGAAGAAAAAGGGTGGGATATAAATATTAAAAAATTGAAAATTGGCAGAAAACACATCAATAATCAATACATCTAATACATAAATAATTTAGGAAATTCATGTGATACCATATTACTGACAGAACAGCAACAAATTGAAAGTGCAAAAGCAGAATATTAACAAAAGAAAAATCATGACTCTAGAAGAGAAAAAAATTGAAGCTGATAGATTTTACATACCTTGACTCAGTCATCAATTCAACTGGAAACTGCAGTGATGAAATTTGAAGAAGAGTGAGGCTTGGAAGGGCTGCAGTGGAGGAACTAGAAAAGATAAGGGCAGGAATGTTTCACTGATAAAAATAGATAAAACAATAATAGCTAAAACCACAATTACATAATACAAAAAGTGCTATATAAAATGCAACAGAAGGATGAGCACAATAAAAAAATAAACTAGCAGCAAACCAGATAAATCATAATCTTAAATACTAAATAAAAAGTTCTTGATTTGGCAATGAAAGCAAAATAAAATGGTAAACGCTCCCATTTCTTCTCCCCCATTAGCACCTGTTCTGCCAGTTTCCGAAAGTCTTCTTCCAGTGAGCTGCCTCCTCAAATCGAGGAACATCCACCAATCACCACAACATTGCCCTCTTGGACCTACTCCTAATGTTTTTGATGCCTCCTCTTCCACAGAACTGGTACTTTGAACATCCTCCAACAAATTTCTGCTGTGCCGCCTCCTGATGCTGTTTCCCCAACTTTGTCTTCAGTTTTTGCTAATTCTTATTTCCATTCTTCATCTGTTAAGTTCCATTCATATAGCATATTTAAGCTTCAGTGAGAGAGTTGATTCTTTTATATTTCCATTGTGAAAAAACTCTCATATATAATGGAAATCCCCAACTTATCTTACTCTTTTTAAGATTATCTTGATTATATTCAAAGAATGCCTAAACACTAGTCTGATGACAAAGAACTTGATAGACTTGCTTCTTTAAATTTTAATTGTCTGTCTCATCTCAACTTTTTCATAAGCTTCACTTTCTTATATTAATTAGAAAATTTGATCAGTTTATCTCTGGGGAACATTCTAGATCCACGCTTGGGACCTGCCCTATGCATTCTTTCTATATCTTCATCTTCCCATCTCTTGTCTGGAAGTTTTCTAAACCAATCCAACACATCAGTTTTAAGATATCTCTCTTCTGCATAAGCTCATTCTGAAATTCCACATATTCAAATATTAGATTGGCTGCTCTTAACCTCCAACAAAACCAGCCTTTTTTCCAGTTCTGTTATTTTTATTTTTTTGGATTGATGATGGATCTCTGCCATGTTGACTTTGGCCAGCATTTCTGCCTGATTATTTTTAACAGACAAATTTGTGAACTGGTCCTCCAAATTTTTTTTTTTTTCAGTTTTCATTTGTGTTACAATCTAAGACCTGCCATCTCCTGTGTTATCTTCTGTTTCTCATGTTGCATTCTCCAGTCTTCCATATCTGAGTTTCAAGACCTTTCAAATGTTGGTTGACCTTTTCAGTCTCAGTTCTTTAATGCCTGTGTCAAGCATTTTTCTGTGGCCTTTCATCTCTGATTCCATCTCTGCCTTCCCTTGGAATCCCAATGTTTGGCCCTCCAATTCTGAAGATACAATCCTAGTTAGAGACAAATCTGAAGGCTTTCTATCCTTCCTTCTTGAATTTCTGTATGACATGAGCTTCCAGATCTAGATTAAGATGTATCTCCAAGCTTCTAGACCAGGTCTGGCATGACATTCAATCATTAAAGCTCATTTGATATTTCAAGCTTGTCGTTTGCTCATTCATCCAGCAGAGGGAGCAGTTTACACCATAGTCTTCTCTTTGCCGTTTTTATTTATATTGGCTCCAGCTCTACTCTAGACACAACAAACACCTTCCTTTGTTACCATACTCCTTTTGATCTATACAAGATCTTCATAACACATAATTTGGTTTTTTTTTAGTAAATTTTATTATTTTCTGCAAACTAAAAAAAAGAAACTAAAAAAAATCAGTCATCAGAACCATCAGACCTGCTGCGTCAGCCCCCCATTTTTTTATATAGCAATCCGTAAATATATTCAAATCTATGCATAGTCCCATTTCTCTAGCCAATGATAAAAACACATAATTTGTTGAATATACCTCTTTACAGTCTTAACTTTAGCACTCAGTTCAACGTAACCAAAGCTGTTGCAGAATTTTAATTCTTTTTAGCCTTTAAAACAAACTTCCAGGGCCCTTTCTCAAACCTTTTCCACACTGCTCCAACAAAAGACTGAGTTTATTTACAATGTAATTAACACTTACCATTATCTCTACTTAAAGCTGGAATGTTCCCCTTTGATTTACCCAAGAGCAGTAGAACAATGGAATCAATGGCCTTGGGAAGTTGTGAGCTTACCCCCACTGGAGGCATAGAAGAGGACAGTCATCTGGAACAGGATTAGGAGGGAGGGGCTGGTTGAAGGTGCTTTGTTCCATGTAAAACTTGCGAGGAAGCAAGCTCACCCAGAGGTCCTTTTATTTGTGGTTTACAGCTTCTGTCAGGGCCACGCTGCCCGAAGCGCCAAAGCCCTCTCCTCACCTGGGCCTTTCTTCGCCCCTGGTTCCAAGGCAAAGAGCGATGTCGCCTCTGGGGAGGTGGGGAGCTGCGAGTCTTGGGCGCAGCGTCTGCTCTTGCTGCGCTCGTCTGGTTGTCTGTTCATTGCGGCAAAACCAGCTGCTTCCAGCTTTCTCTCAAAGGCTGCTTTTGCCCGCCTCCTTGTCCTCCCCTCCTCTGCTTTCTTGTTCACTCTCCTCTTCTGCCCACCCCTCCTGCCTTTATTCTCCCTTCCCCAACGTAGCTGTCCCTGCCCCAGCCACCGATCCCATCCAGCTGTATGAACGTTCGGGCATCCCCGCAATCCCCACAAATGGAGTCCCCCGCCCGGTTCCTCTGAAGCAGATTCCCGGCCATGCCCGTCATCTCTGGCCACTCTCTGGTGGCTGCCATAGGAAGATGAGTGAGCCCCTGCACCTCCTGACACCATCTGAAAGGAATGGTTTAGGTTGATGTCCATCACTGAGCGAGGGGTTGGACCTGGTGGCCCTCTGGCCCCTTCCAAATCTACTGTGCTGTGATTCTAGCTCCTGATGGCAAACAACATCCGGTCTGCATTCTGCCACCTTTAGAACGTTGTGCTTCTGCATGTTGGAGCTGAACGCATTTGTACTTTGCAACATCCAGTTTCCTTTTATATTGTACTTTGGGGGCTCCCTCCTTGCCTTGTCCCCGTTGGTGGTGCATTTGCTGTGATAGCACCGCATATCCAGTTTTTCCATTAATGCAGTTTGAACTTTAACAGTTTTGTTTAGTTAGCATAAGTAGCATTACAAACAAAACTTTTTCTTTTGTCAGGTGGGCAGTTAGCAAAAGATAGCTGCCTTGCCTAGGTTTCAGATGCCTGGCAGTTCTGTGGAGCTTCAAGAATGATTAGTATAGATACTCACATAATGTTATTTATTCCCCACCCCAGTACTAAACAATACCAGGCAAAGTACAAAAGACAGTGATCTTATCTTAAAATGCTTAGTTAGGTTTACACCTTGATCAATCATGTTAAAAGCAAACTATTTTCAAAGTGCTGAAACCTAAAATGGTAGGTAGCTATCAGGTCTGCAGTAATCCGTTGGTATATGTGACTGCCTTGTTTTCACAGATTCAGGGCATATTCACCTTGTTTGGTTTCTTTTTCTTCTTGTGTCCTGAGTTTCTCTGTTCCATCCAAAGTACGATCCACATTGTCTTGGGGTTGCTGGTCGCTTTCTTTCCAGCTCCTCTGTATCCTGCAGAGTGAGGCGGTCAAGGCCATCACAAGGCGCCCTGGCCTGGGCCTGGGCCCTTAGGACTCTGTGAGCATGCCCATGCCATCGCTAGTCCCTTCAGGCCTGTGCCCATTGCTTGTAGCCAAATGACCGTGTCACCAGTGCCTTCCTTTCCCACTAGGCTGCAGATGCAGATGGTTAACCTGTCTTACTTTTGCAAGGCCCTTGCTTTTCCCCTCAGGCCAACTTTCACAGCTTTCCGGGTTTTGAGTTTATGTGCTTGGAGTCCAAGGAGGGATTGCTCAGGACAAGTTAATCTGATGTTAGAGCTTGTCAATTTTTCATGCAAAAAGTATGAAACAAAACAGAAAAGCCACTCTTCATTAAGCTTAGCTTTGTATGGGGTTGGGGGCAATTTCTAATACAGCCACACTATTAACATAACTGACATGCTAGCATAAATTAGCACAATGCAGATTAACTTCTTGCAGAAAACCCATGGTGGCAGCAAGCTCTATTGGTGATATGCTGCATATTTAGCACCTGTGGCCGCTCCAGAACCCTCCCTCCCCACCCAACAGTGATCTGGATGGGCTCAGAGGCTCTTACGTGTTAAAGTCCTTCGTCTTCCTCTTGACCTGCCTGGCTTTTGCCAGCTGGGCACAGGGCAGGCAGAGGGCTTTGGACTGAAAGCACCATCCACCGCTACCCTGCTCCTTTTCTACACACACATCTGCTTCCACTACAAAGCACAATGAACAAATTGCTGCCAGCTGACCTTCCCATCCTGGGCATAGTTAAATATATTCATTTGAATGGCAACCGTATGCTTCTCCACAAGACATTCTTGTCCAACAAGATGGGATTTCTTTCCTCTTTTTAAAGTTACATTTTATGGAGCTAGACTGCAGTAAAAAAAAATCTATGCAGCCTTAAATAGAAGACACATCTGGGCTCTGTGGTGATGAATGCAACTCATTATTTGTCCTCCTGGAATTAAGACATTCTGTGCTGGAGCAGAAAGACAACAAGGCTCAGTGATGCAGTTGTTAGCAGGGGTTACTAACGAGGAAGTCGGCCCTCAGTGACACAAGGTGGCATACGCTGGTGTGGAGCCCTGGAGTTTGGAGTGGGAACCTTACCCGAGGCACCTTAATTTTGCTTTCTAGAAGAATGGCTTGCCTTGTACTTCTCATCTATTCTTTGCTGCTCATGTTGTTTACCTGCCATGTTGGTAAGTGGCTAAATACAAGATTATTTTCTTTGCTTGACTTCTGCCAGTTAAATTACTCATATGGTGTTTAAGCAAGATGATAGTACATAAGGTTCCTGTATTCACTAGGATTTTAGCTGGTGGAATTGCGTTTTATTTTAAAGAGAGCTTAGTTGTAGTACTGTCAAAATTCTATGGATATCTTTCTAGTTGCAAGTGGTGATACTGGACAAGTCAGTATCACCACTGACTTTATTAATGTCTTTATTAAAACATTAATAAAGTCTAGCAACACAACAACTCTCTGAGGGCAAGTAATGTTGGTAATCTATGAAAGGTGCTTGGAGCAACCAAATGCTGGAATTATGCAAATAATATGAACAATCCAGCTGCACATAGACTATTCATTTGCAGCATTGTTTTGGTTTCCACAGCTTAGTGGGCCTTTGACACCCTACTGTGCACTCCTCTTTCCACATGTTTGGAAAACTAGCAGGGCCTGAGCTTCAGAAGTAGGAGGAGTTTAACAAAGTAACCCTAACACACTGTAAAGAGTAGAACTGTTAGATTGGGCAAGAGTTCAACAGCAGGGTTGGGGCAATCATGATAAAGCTTTGTATGCATATAGTATTTTTAGAAGGTTCACGGTGCTTCTGGTATGTTACACTTTGAAGCCCTTGCAACAAGCTTATAGGGTAGGCCAGTACTTACTCTGCCTATAAGGCGTTGGGCTTGAGGTGAAGGGAGGCATGGTCTGCCTAAGGCCATCTAGTAAGTTCAGGACAGATGTAAGCCTCAAACCGATGGCTTCCTGAAAGACTGAAAACTGCATTGCTGACCCGGCATTTGTTGGCTGTTCCATTACACAGGTGCAATAGATGAATTCAAGGTACGGCCATTTGACAATATTTCTCTGCCCTGCCACTTCTCCTTTGTGGATAGCACAGATGGTTTGACCTTCACCTGGGAAAGGGAAGATATTAAGGAAGAACATGAAGTAGAAGATAAAGACTTTTATAAGTATTTTGTTGGACTTCAGGATTTTTACCAGTTTTACCCAAAGGTGATATACAGTTTCAGCGAAAACAAGGAGCATGTAGAGGAGCGAAATGCACTCTATGAGGGAAGAGTCTGGGTAGATGAGGAGGAGATTCCCGAGGGCAGTCTGACACTCATGCTGGAGCAAGTTCAGTTTTCCGATGAGGCCATGTACATATGCAAGGCCAGCAACTCAAGGGGCAGGGGACAAAGGAAGATGAAACTTCTGGTGGAAGGTAGGTATGTTTGTAAACCCTCCAAAGTCGCACATATGAAACAGGCCCATGGTTGGTACGTCTAGTCTCATAAGAGTCAACATGGGGTGAGTCTCCTTTCCACATGGCTGAAGGTGCTTTCCTTCCGGCAGTACTCTGCCTCCACTGCAAGTGTCTGTCCTTCCTCCACAGAATGCTGTAAGAGTATGTATTTGTACTTCCTGATTTCTTTTGGTAAAGACCGAATACAACATTTAGTACAGTGCTCGGTCTCACACTAGGTATTAGGTATTTACTACAGATTTATTTATTTATTTATTTAAACATTTCTATGCCGCCCCATTGATTTACTACAACTCAGAGTTGGCACTGTTGAGAAGTGAAGCAAGAGCAACACTAGCAGCATTTTTTTTTAAAAAAAATTATGTCTAAAAAAACCTTGAAAACCAAGTCAGGGTAAAGAACAAGTGAAGCAGTGGAGTCAGGTGCCGTCAGACCAAATTAAACAGTTGTGAAAAGAGACCTGGATGCATTTTGAAGAAATTTTCATGAGCTTTTGCTTGAAAAAACATTTTGCTGGGGAAAAGACTTCTTTTTCTGAAGAAATATTTGCAAATAACAGTAGAAGAAAAGAGACAGCAGAGGGGATGAGTAAGGATTAGGCACAATTAGGGTTAAAGACACAGTCACAAGATTGGCAACTTACAAAAAGCCCAGTGTTAATATAAACACAAGCCAGAAGGACTAAAGTATATAGAAACATAGAAACAGAGTGAGTCAGAAGGGACTTCCTGGGCCATCTAGTCTGACACCTCGCTCCAGCCTGCTCCGCTCATGACATGCCTACCATGTGCAGTTTTGAGTTTTGTAGAAATGACACACAGCCAATTATATAAATTGTTATCATTTCCCTCTCTCCTACCCAGTATGTTTTCTTATTTTTTTTTTCTCCTTCAGGAACTCAAGATACTTCTTGGAAATCAAGAATATATGGCTGGGTGTATTTGGCTGACAAAACCATTCTATCATCTTCTGTAAATTATTAATACTAAGTAAAATGTAGCATACCAATTTTTAGAACCTCTGCTGCATGCTTCAAAAACCCAAGAGCGGTTATTACCATGTTTTAATTAGGTTGCCACTAATTGCTTTGTTTTTCACCCATTACAATTAGATGCTGAAGAGCCACAGGTGCAGTTCAGCACAGTCAACGATACACTTGTTGCAAAGTGCATCTCAGCAGGCTGGTATCACATGCCAAAAGTAACCTGGCGTAACCGCAAGGAAGAAGATATCTCCAGCTACGCCACCACAGAGATCCTGGAAGAGAAGCGTGATGGGTCTCATAGGGTGGTGTCCATCTTGAACTACCCTGTCTTGCTCCATGAGATCTACAGATGTCACATTGAAGAAGATGATGTGCTCAACAGACCTGTTCGATCTATTCATAAAGTTCCAAGTTAGTGATCTATCATGTCAAATCCTCACTGAGCCAGGTGCAGCACATCCTCCTTTATTCAAGGAGGACATGCCTCTTTACTTTATACTCTCTTGAGAACAAATTACACCTTAAACCCTCTTGGCCAAATAGAATATGATGCAGGCCATCTGTAGTCCTAGTGGGTTCCATACTGAAGCAAGTTTAATCAGCTTGCTAGAAATTGCCTTCCTGAACTGCAGGGAATGGTTTCTTTCCAAATGCTACAAATACGTTCGATTCTATCTTTTAAACTCTATAGCAGCTTCAAATTTCTTACTTGTAGCACACTCTTCCTTTGAGATTCAGGAGACCTGAAGTGAATGATGCTTGTATATTTGGGTTTGGACTCAGTGAGTGTTTAAACTGTACACAAAATGCATTTAATGACAATTATTTATAAAAATGCCAGCTTCAGTTCTTGGCTTTCTAGAGTAGAACACCTTTGTCCTCAAGAGGGGTACCATGCATGCTTGAGATGCTGGACAGACAAGACAGTAAATCTCTGTCTGCTACAAGGTCAGGGTAGGGTTTACATGCATGCTGTGAATTTTGATACTGCTTCTCTAGCAGCAAGCTCGGCACAGACAGGCCAGACCAAGAGGCAGAGGCCTTCTTCAAATTACCTCAGCCTCCCCAGTGTGGGAAAAAGGCAAGTTGCGTGCCTGTAACTGCCCTTTCTTAAGCAGTTATCTGTGCAGTCACACATTTGGGCCTGCATGAAGCCTGGGCCCAATTCAGAGGGCTTACATTAACAGATAAAGCCCTAAAAAGCTTGGGGCCGGGATATCCAAAGGAGTGCCTGTCTCCATGTATCCTTACCAGACCACAAAGGTCTTCAATGGAGGCCCTTCTTCATGAGCCACCCCCTAATGAGGTAAAAGGGGAAATGGCAAGGAGAAGGGCTTTTCCCCCTATTGCACCCCACTTGTGGAACGTCCATCCCAAGGAGATGTATTTGGCACCCTCATTACTTGCATTCCATCACCAGGTTAAGACTTTTTATGTAATATTTGTTTTCAATAGTTGCTTATTTCATTATGCCATTATTGCTATTTTTTGCTTTTATGTTCTCCTCTCTGGTATATTAAGTTATGTCATTTGGATTTTATGTTGCGTATTGGTTTTACAGTTTTAACTCTATTTCTGATCTTATGATTTTATGATGATTGTTTTCTTTCTTTCTGTGAGCCACCCGGAAAGACTTCAGGCTATGGGGCGGCATACAAGTGTAACAAATAAGAAATGCATTAATTAATTAATTAATTAATTAATTAATTAAAAGACAGTTGGAGTCTGGATGCAGCACCACCTAGTCTCTGTGGAAGACTAGGTATGGAGGACCTACCCAAAGAGCATCTATCTCACTGGAATGGCAGGCTGAAGTGACTGCCACCAGCAAAGGCCAGTAAGGGAAGAATTTTCCGTGCCGTGAGATTCAGGGTGTGTATGTTTGGGTGCAATACTTTCCTGGAACTCAGAAGATTAGGTCCTGTTTTGACAGTTGCTGAAGGAAGACTTGGTTGGGCATCCATAGCAGTTCGGTGAATCTCAGCTGTCTAGGTTGCCATGGTGCTATGATGATCCAGTCTGTTCCATCCCAACAAACCTTTGCTAGCACTCTCATTATGAGAGGAAAGAGGGGAAATAGGTAGGACACTGTCCCTTACTACCTCAGGAGGAAAATGTCTCCTTGAGAGTCCCTGCCTACTCCCACCAGAGAGAAATGGGGGCATCATACCACATTGTCCCAAGTGGCAAAAAGATCAACCTGGGGTGGTGAAGAAAGCTCTTGTGGCTTTTCAAACTTTCCTCTCACCACCATACCCAGGTCATCACAGACAATACCACAGTGGTCTTCTTTCTCAACAGAGAAGCATCTGGTCTATACTTCTGGCCCATTTACCCATCCGTATATAGGACTCATATGTCAACAATGGCATCATCCTTGCCACCACTTTGAGTCTCATGAATAGCAACTCAACACAGATGCATTTCATGAAGACCCTTGGGGCTATGTACAGGCCACATGGCAAAACAAAAAACTGAGAAGCCACCCGCCCAATCCCAAGGAAATGTCTGTGCAAGTCCACTATGGAAATGAGGAAGGATGCATCCCTTAAATCAATCAAGGCAAACCATCTCCTTCATGCAGCAAGGGTAGAATGTTTTGCATTGTGACCACACGGAATTTCTTTGGTGAGATGGAGTTAATCACTCTGAGATCAAGGACTGGTTGGAGTCCTCCATCCCAGTAAATTATCTGGAGCAGAATCCAACTTGAAGATGAAAAGGGGAGATCTGCTCTAGAGCACCCTTCTGAAACATTGAATCTACCTCCATAATCAAGGCTGTAGATGTGATTGTATTCTTTACAATACTGAGAGGCAGGAGGGCGTGAAACTTGATCCTGTATCCCTGTTCCACAACAGATAGGACCCAGGTATCTGATGCTGTTGTTTCCCATGCAGGGAGGGAGGAAGAGGTGTTGGTCAAAGAGCAGTGTATGGGAAGCAGGGACAGCCCAAGGAGATAGTCACGGCTGCCATCTCTCAGTGTCTGAGCATCTGTGCCCTTGGTGGTACCTGCTAGAACCATCCCTGTGCTATTGAGAGGAGTGGTCAACTTGGCTCCGAGGTGTAATATAGAGCTGGCTAGATCAGAACCACTTACATGGTCTTGACGGCAGTTCTTGGTTGAGTCCCATCCTCCTCACTGTTGTCTTTCAAACTAAACCCATTCACTCACTGGTCTTCACATTAAAGAGCTCCTACCCATCAAATGGCACATCTTTGATTTGGGAGCAGGCTTTCTGTGACAGACTGGCTGAGCATAGCCAGGTGTGCCTCCATAATGCTGCTGCTTTGAGCATTGCCTTTGTGCTGCAGTCCACCTGGTGGTGTTGATTTGCTGATGGGAAAGATACATTGCTTTTGCTTGTATCTTGCTTTAGCCTGGTACTTTGCCGCCCAGTGTCCCACACCAGTGCCTCCTCATCAGTTCCTGGTGGTGGACTCCCCGGTCTACTGGCACCGAATGTTCACAGCATGAGTGCTTCTGGGCTAACTCCACAATGACAAATTTTGAATGGTGGTGCTGGAATAGGAAAGTAGCCCTTTCCCTGCATCCTGTACATGTTCTCCAAATGCTTTAAAGTTGGAGTCATGGATGCGTTCCAGAACTGTTGCACTGTCAACAGCAGAGTGGAAAGAAATAGAATCACGACTGGTATGGAGTTCTTTATATGGACTGCATTGAAGACTGGGTCCTTCACTCTCTGCTGTTGCATGTCCAATCTGGAAGACTAGGACATTTTGAGGATTTGGTTGGAGAAGTGGCCCAGGTCATCCAATGGTGAGGTCAGATCTTGGTTTCCCACAGCTGTATTTGGGCAGGAGATAGACAGGGCTACACTTGTAGGATCAGAAGTCTAAGTCAGAAGGGCAGTCTTAATGTAAGATGGAAGAGATGGTGATCACGGTCTGGAATGTATCAGTGGAGGTAAATTCATTGTTTTAGAAGGGTGCTATAGAGGATGATCAGTGCAGGGGCATGGTGGATATAGAAGCACAGTCCAGAGGTCCCTTGAAGATCCTTGAAGAAGAGGTCCAAGAAGCTGATTTCTGTGCTATTGGTGATAAAAGTAGAGGCATTCAGATGGAAGGAACTCCAGTGTTGTGCTCCCAATTCCTGAAGTGGGGCTCAGGATGGAAGGATAGTCCCAAGGATCGCAGGTGTCGTCTCAGTCTAGAGGATATCTCCATGGGTCATAGTATCCTCAGTACAGCGGTGAGATGGCTCATTTCAAACATCTGTCCCAGTCTCAGAGGGGAGAGCAGGAGTGGTCTCTATGAAACTTGGTTGCAAGATGGGCAGGATCCAATGAGCTTGAAGATATGGTGCCCAAGAGGTGTGAAAACAAGGCTTTGGAAGGCAGGTGAGCTAGTGATTGAAACGTATTTTGGATCTTGTCCTTCAACACTGAAGTTGCCAATACTGGGTCCAGCCTCGGTAGTGAAGGTTGGATACTGGGATGTTCTGTGCTTACAATTCCTGCCAAATTGAATCTGAAGGATGACCTTTGGAATGCCCATCAATTTTGCCAGCTCGGTCATTTTAACCAACTTAATGGCCTTGGATAGCTTCACAGACCGTCCAGGTGTTGGTGGTGTGGTCTGGCCCATGGTTAGATCTGTAACCAAGGCAGGCACATATGGAACCTTTGAGGTAGACAGGCATTCCTTCTCTACTGGTTTACAGGAATCTGCTGCTTGGAGTAACTTGCTTCATAACTCTGCTCTTAGGTAGCCTGCCCTGTACCTTTGGGCCTGTTTGGTGAAGGAATGCAGGAGTTGATCTGACCTCCAAACAGAACAGGCAAAGAGAGTGCCCTTTGGTTCAAAGGAGTTTGCTCCCACAGTGGATACATTTTCTAAAGGGGACCTTGAGTTACGAAGAAAGAGTAGGAAATACAAGTTGAAAGAAGAAGGATTGAGACTTAGAAGTTCTTAGGGAAAATGAAGATGTTTGTTAAGAGGAGAAGGATAAAGTGGCTTAGTGTGTTGAATTAGGAAACAAGAATTGGGTTGCAGAAAAGTCAGGAAAAAACCCACAAAGAATTGCAAAGGAAAGAACTTCCTGAGGCACCTTATTTATTTACTTAAAACTTTTATACACTGTTTGATTAGTGACAGCTCTTAGAATGGTGAACAATTTAAACAATCTAAAAACATAATATATATACAGCATATCACAAGGCAGTTAACTTCATGGTGGCACATCAAACAATGAATACAATAAATAGTAATCTCTCATAATACTAGAATAAATCCAAATCACAAAATACCAATGACAGATAGATAAAGCCAGTGTACAATCCAATAGTTTATCATTATAAAATTATTAAATAATAAAATGCTGGGAAAATAAAGTTTTTATTTTCACCAAAATATTTAAAAGTTGGTGTCAGGCATACCTCCCAGGGGAACTGGTTCCATAAATGTGGTGCCACAGCCGAGAAGGCCCTGCCTTTCCTGGCCACATTCCTTCTCTCTTTTAGATGTGACTCCTGCAAAAGGACCCCCATAGAGGTCCAGGTAGGTATATATGGGAAGAGACTCTTTTAGACATCCAGTCCCTAAGCCATTCAGGGCTTTATACATTAATGTAAAACACCTTGAAGTGGGCCTGGATTTCAGTTCATAACCAGTGTAGCTGATAATGCATAGGGCTCACATAGAAACATAGCGAGTCAGAAGGAGCCTCCCAGGCCATCTAGTCTGACCCCCGGCTCCAGCCGGCTCCGTTCATGACATGCCCATTCCATACCCTCGAGGTCCTGTCAGGAAGTGCCTCCTGGCATCTAAATGGAACCTTGGTTCTCTGCACTTTGCTTCATTGGAGCGTGTCCTGCCTTCCTCTGCAGGGGAGAACCTCCGTGTGACATCCCCTCACATACCTGTATGTCGCCAACATATCCCCTCTGAGTCTCCTCTTCTCCAGCCTGAAGAGACCCAGTTCCCTCAGTCTTGCCTCATATGGCATCCCCTGCAAATCGGCCACCAACCTTGTGGCCCTACGCTGCACTGACTCTAACCTGGCTATATCCTTCCTGTAATGAGGGACCCAAAACTGAGCACAATACTCCAGTTGCGCATGCACCAGAGTTATATAGGGTGGCAATAATACCTCTCTCGATCTAGAAGCCACACTTCTGGCTATGCAACCAAGGGTGGCATTCGCCCTCTTGACCAACGCATCACATTGCTGACTCATGCTTAGCCTGCAGTCAACCAGCACCCCAAGGTCCCTTTCACAAGTGCTGCTCTCCAGCCACTTGTCCCCTAACCTGTACTTATGACACCTATTCCTATGCCCCAAGTGCAAGACCTTACACTTATCCACATTGAACGCCATCCTGTTGTCTCCTGCCCACTTCCATGGTCTGGAGTACCTGCTCCTCAGTTTTAGTATCGTCTCGAATTTGATCAGCCGACTGTTGACCCCTTCTTCCATGTCATTTATTAAAAGATTAAACAGGATTGGCCCCAGGACAGGGCCCTGGGGGACCCTGCTTGTCACTGGCCGCCATCCCGATGATTCCCCACTAATGGTTACCCTCTGCTTTCGGTCAGTCAACCATGTCCTAATCCATCAGACAGTGCTTTGGTGTATCCCAAAACTCCTCAGTTTCTCAACCAGGATATCATGGGGCACTTCGTCAAAGGCCTTGCTGAAATCCAGGTAAACCACATCCGTGTTGTGTGGCTGCCAGCCTCCCTTCCCTATCTAGCATCACTAGCTCTCTATTATGAGCCTTTCCATTGTTTTTCCTGCAATGGACGTAAGGCTAACTGGTCTGTAATTCCCCATGTCCCTTCTACTACCCTTTTTGAAAATTGGGACCACTGATGCCACCCTCCAGTCCTCTGGAACTTCACCCATTCTCCATGAGGCCTCAAAAATGGAGGTCAGTGGGCGTGAGAGAACCCCTGCCAACTCTCTAAGTACTCTCGGGTGTAACCCATCAGGGACAGGCGCCTTTGTAATGTCCGATGCTCTGAGGAGCCCCTCGACTTCTTGGGGGGGGTGACTCTAATCTGTGCCCCTAAATCCCTGGCCTCATCTAATCTCCTATGCGGATCTTCCCCGTCCTGCTTTGGGGAGAACACAGAGGCAAAGTAGTCATTTAGCAGAATTTTTGTACATGTTTGTACCTGCCCCTCCCTGTCAACGGAGAACCAACTGAAGTTTTTTTCAAGGGCAAAAAAGGTGGTCAAAGAGCTGAGGGAATGGGTGGGAACTCCACCAATTATATCAGATGCCAAGGGTGAGGTAGAGGTTCCTGCCAAAACTTTCTCAGCTGTTAAAACTTCCCAACAAGTTTCATGCAGGCAGAGTCCATATGTGTGATACACAGAGATCATGAAGTACTTTTTGTTTACACTTTCTCAAGGAAGAAATGTACATGTTCAGAAACACACTCATATATATTGTCAAGTTAATGGGGACACCACACAGTTCTCCAGGGGTGAAGAACTAGAGGGCTATTTCTGGCAACATCCCCATGTACCAGTTATTAAGAAGTTGTAGATGATTTGTTTAAAACTTTTCTATACTTTCCCATACTTAGATGTCTTGGGACGGTTTACAATGAATTAATCCTAAAAATAGAAATAAAAATAACAGTTGTCCAGCATCCAATGTTAAAATATAAACCCACTAACTAAAAAAAGTTAACAATTAAAATACTGGGAGAATAAAAAGGTTTTCGCCTGACACCAAAGGGAAAGCATTGGCACCAGGTGGACCTCTCTGGCGATTGTGGTCCACAGTCGAGGCGTCACCGCAGAGAAGGCCCTCCTCTGGGTAGTCACCCTCTTGATCTTTTTCAAGGACAGCTCCTGAAGAAGGGCCTCTGACTCAGATCTCAAGGGGTGGTTCGGCACACAGGGGAGAAGGCACTCTTTCAGGTATCCAGGACCCAGATTAGCAGCAGTGGTTTCTTTTATTTTCTCTTGGATTCAGGAAATGTTCTCCAGGTGCACTTCTTCCGATTCCCACCATCGCTGACCACTAGCTTAGCTGACTGGGGCTATGAGTTTGGTAACATCTGGAGGGCCACAGGTTCCCTAGTCCACATATAATAAATCAAAGTTTTAATTATATCCATACATTGCTGTCATTTTGTTTGATGCAGACTCATCTCTCAGTCCAGAGAACAGACAGTAGGACACCCTATGCAGCTGTCTGTGGAGTAAGTAGCAGGCCGCAGTAGGCTTCAAAACTCCAAAAAATCCTATTTTTCAGACTGCAGTCAATGGCAGTTAAGTGAAACCATGGTAACTTGAAACAGCAGATGCAGGGGCTTTACTGTACACTTAAAATTTACTGAATTTAATACAGTATACCTTCTGGTAAAAATGGTTAGGATTTAACCTTTACATTGGTATCTCATGGTTTTAATGAATGTGCATACACATTATCTTGTGTTACAGCCTTCTTCTATAATTAACTGGTGTATGTTTCTCCAAATGCAGAATTTAAGAAAACGTAGATCTCCTTCTCCTATTATTATAATTATTAGCAACAATTTAAAAATTTTATTTCCCCCCCTCAAAAAAACCCCCCAATGTCTCAGTGGCCTCATAAGACAGACTAGAAGAGCGCACAATATTGCTGACTTCCTTTTATCCATTTTAGCTCAGGCCGAGAGGCACCTTCCCACAGCCCTGCGAACAAATATATTAGATTATGCTTGAAAATAGTCATGTGGCTGCTAAGCTGTAGTAAGAATCTTCTGTGTGGGCCCGACAGGGAAGCACTAGGACGTTCCATTAGCATCCAAGTTTGCTCTACTGGGTCAGGGTCTGGTAATATACATTTGTGCTATCTAATACCTTTACTGGGCTTGTATGAAAGATTGTACTCCATTTAATCTTTTCTTTTTTCAGAGAGGAAATACCATAATATGTATAATAACTATTAGGATTGCCAAGTCATCTGTGAAGAGAAACCCTTACTCCTTTCATCACATGAAGTCTTCAGTTTCGCATGGTACTGGGATGCAGCAGAAAGAAGAGACAATTAGTCTAGACAATAGGATAGTAGAAACCTCTGTGATGAGATATTGTTTCATGCTTCTCCTATTTGATGCTTGAATTAAATACTGCCAAAATCAACCGTGTTTGCATTGTGCTGTATTTCAAGGTACCAAAATAACTTGCAAACCCTTGAATAAAGTCAACTGAATTAAACCTGAGCAGTCTACTGTGGTCCATTTGATACACACTCTTAGCAGGTATCTTCACCCACATGTATAATCTTGCACATGCCGTTTGTGGAATCAGGCCAGTGTTTCATGTTCCACATTCATTTGCGAGCTCATATAACACTATTTATTAAGAGCCCTTCTGCCTCTTCAGTGAAGCACAGTGTGTATATCAACCTCCATTCTGTAAAGTCAATGGTTATGATTCATCCCATTTTCAGTACTTAGCTGAGTTTTGTCCTGGGGCTTGTTTACCTATAAGCTTATATATGCCTCTTCACGCAACTGACCTGGTGTGGCAGTAAGTGGAGTAGCATGCCCTGTACTGCTGTGAACAATAAATGCATCAATAAAATGGAGCAGGATGGTAGTACTTAAAAGGTCAAGATAGTTATATTTATGCATTTTTATATATAGACAGTCCCCAAAATAAGCCATACTTATGAACAAACTGCCAAAAAGTCATAAAATTACTGCAGCAAATTGTCATCACCATAGCGAAAGTAAAAGGGTAGAGAGGAAGGCCCCCAAAGTAGGTCTTCCAATTGCACCCATCTGGAAAAGGGAATCTCTTCAGGATTTCCTTGCTACAAAGAGAGTTGCAATTTTTCCACTTTCATAAGGGACCTGTGCCCTGACCCCCATAAATGCGCAAAGCAAACTACATGTGAATTTACATACAAATTCAACTTAAAGACAAATGTGCATTTCCTAAGGCATTGCACTTGTTTGTAACCAGGGGACTGCCTGTAGATCTATAAGTGATAACATGGTTTTGCACACAACTGGGGAATGATAGGTGAAGAATTAAATAGAAAAAACCTTATGACATGCTCTCGCTACAGTAATGAAACATAGGATTTATTAAATAAAATGAGGAATGAGAGTTTTCTGAATAAAACTTTTAGAGCAAGTATAGCAACAGCTGGTGATCACTGTGACTGGTGGGATGGAGAATGGATCACCAGAAGTGGAGCCATAGGTTTTAAAGAAAGGCAAAACAAGGCAAAATACAAAAAGGAGTTTATAAGAACATTAAAATAACTCTGCAAATCTCCCTCTCCCTCTCCCTCTCCCTCTCTCTCTCACACACACACACACACACGAAGCCCACCATTCCCTAGTGGTCTGGATACAATGTGGTTTGGATACAATGAGCTCACCTCCCTCTTCTCCTACCCCAGAGCCACGACATTCATACAGAAGCTGCACACAGGCAATTTTACAGATCCAAGAAGCTAAAGGAAGCATCATAAAAGAATTGACAGACCATAGAGGACATATTTTAACAGAGATCGGGGAAGACAATGAAAGCATCATAACATACCACAGAGTCCAGAGAGTAAATAAAAATGCAGGGATTTAGTTTGAATGCATAGGACAGGCAAATGATTAAAAAAATAATTTTTCCCCAAGAAGCAAGGAAGACATTGTATTGGACAAATTAATTTGGTTTCCAACAAATGTTTAAAATTAATTTGGTCTCAGATGGGAAATACTTTAAAAATAATTTGGTCTCCACTGAGAAAGAAATGCTTTCAAAATAGCCTTATATTTTCAAATAGATTAGTTAGATTAAAAGGCCTGTATGAGAAGAATACAGGCCTTTACTCTGGACTTGATCATTCATTTGCACTTATTCATAATTTCTTGCTTAATTCTACAAATAATAATTCTGGGTGGGGTCAGCCCTGGTTGAATTTTTAGAAAGCTATGCATGGTACCTACAATCACTCCCACTCACCAGTGAAAGTTATTTTTAAGGAAATCATGGAAAGAAGCACTCAACAACAAATAATAAGGTTAAAATCATCTTTAAATAACATGAAAAAATATAAAGCCAACAAGCATCATTTAAAAGTCCTCCTTAAACAGAAAAAGGGGATTTTATCCTCAAAAGCAACCTGGAAGTCCTTTCTAATAAAATCAAATTAAAAAACACAGTCAAAGCAATTCTCCTGTTTTAAGGCAGCTATACTAAAACCTTTATCTAGTAATGTATCTGTAACTAAGCCTGTTTTTCCTTACTGTGTAAGCACATCTAGTACTGATCCAGAGCAGAACCAGAACACTCAATGAGGAAAAGATCAAATCTCTTCTACACTTTTTTCTTCATCCCCTGCACCCCAAAATCACCTACATTCACACTTAAGGGGCTGGAAATTTTTAAAAAATCCCAAAGCCGTCTCTGGTTTCCAGTTAGACATTTTTTATTAAACTTCCTGTGGGAGGGTGTGGAATGGAATTTCAGAAGCAAAATGGGTGGTGATGAGGAAAGAGTTAATCCCCCCCCCCCAAATACCATGGTTCCAATTTGGATCAGGATCCTGTGTACTTGGGCAGCTACACCTACACCACAAGTAGGACATGTTTTAGCTCTAGGAGTGTACAGGCCTAGCTGGCTCCCCTAGGTAGATTAAGGAATTATATCACATAAATACAGACCTGTTCACTTTCCTCCTCAAACTCTTTGTTTATATTAGGTACATCCAAACGGATGTGCCTAATATAACTACCTCCATGCTGTCTGTTTTGCCGCCCTCCAAAAGCCACTTCCTGCAGTTCAACACTCCACTGGAGGTGACCTGCAGAGTACACTACTAGTTCCTCGGCAGCCACCATGCTATATGCTTTTTTCAATCATCATGGAAACAGGCCAGTAGGTTCATACCAACACCTCGTAAGCCAAATAATGGAATGGACCCTCCACAAAGACGTAGAAAGCAGGAACAGTCCGTCCATCTGTCTGTCTGTCCTTCCTTCCTATTTCAAGATTCAGATGGTTTGTTTGGATTGTTTCTACTGGAGCACCCAGGAATTCTCCTTTACACTGAGTTGAACAGTGTCCGAATGCACGTGTCATCAAATAAAGGTGCCAGGTTGCTGCTGAAGGAAGCTAGCATAGCAACTAGAATAATGGTGGTGCATTATATGAAAGAATACATTGTTTTTAAATGATACAGCTGGCAATGCATGCAGTTGTGTCCCCACTCCCATATAGATGCTTTCATATAGGTCAGTTTCTGAGAGCAATAGTGTCAACCTTTTGCCAGGATAAATTTTCCAGGCAAACGGAAGCTTGGCAAGGCTGTCACAAATGAGCATTTAACCTGATACAACAGGTACAATTTTAGTCCATGAATTTGCCTCATGCAACCAAATGTTCCTTCAATCAGCTAAGAACTGGTATTAGAGCAAAGAATCTGTTTTATTTCCAGCGTACTTCCTTGGTGGCATTAACTGGGTCAGACCTTGTTAGACTCTTCTTAATTGCATACAGCTTTTATCAATTGGATTTTCTCCATCTTGCAATGCTGAACTTCCAGAAATGATAATAAAAAAGAACTGAAGACTCCTCATGCAACGATTGTGATTTGAGAGGGATATCCAATGAATACCGAGGCCTGATTCAAATATGTAGTTTACAGCATGAACGATGCTTAAGAGCATGCAGGCAGCTGCACAAACCAAGGTGCCTGTACGAGCTGGTCTTCTTCCAACATGAGAGTGTAGTTAGTCATAAAGATTTGTTCATAAACTTGCTGCAAACAGCGGCCTTCATATTGCTGTGTTTCTAAGTGCCTGTGCTGCTGCAGACTTCACATATGAAAAGTGGCTGAAAATATAAAAGTGTTCTGCAACATGAACACGAATCCTACGGAGAAGTACCTAACTAGAGATCTAGGGGGACCGTAGCATCATTAGCAACATTGATATTCGCAAGTATTAGAACTCTGGATTTTTACAAAAATGCCAAAAAAACTATTTATACACGAGATTATATACCTATCAGTGGGTTTGGTGCTAGCCAACGTGTGCTGACAAGGCAAACCAGCCTCCTTCCTTTTGTGTTTCAGACTGCAAGAACAGAGAGAAAAGGGAGGGGTGAGTTGCACTGCCACTTCTTTAGCCTTTGATTGTCTGCATTTGTGCTGACCTCAGTCAACATAAAACAAGTGCTAGTTGTTTAGTAAATGGAGTGCCAAAGGGGAACAAGTAGACAAGAGTAGAACCTGGAGAAGTGGCTCCACTGAGGGGCTCAGGAGAGACAACTATCTTAGGCTCAGTTTCTTCCTACCTGTGTAAGGAGAACACGAGCGGCGTACCTCTGCCAGGACTGTTGAGCTCCATAGTGGAGTGTCATATATCCTGAGTCTTAGAGCCGCTTGTTGCAGTCAAATTCCTTCCATGCAAAAATTTGCATGCAGAAATTAATATGAAATCTGCAAGTCATTACATTACATACTGATTCATCACTACGCTGTGAATGCAATTTTTGCCAAATTTCAAAGCAGTTCTTTGTGTTTCTGAACAGTGGATTGCTCCTTATAAGAAAAAGCTTTCCATAAGTGTATGAGAGAACCAGTTTCTCTGGTTTCACGTTTACATTTCTCATCCTATGTGCAATCTAATGGGAACATGTCCACAGCAGAAAGGAAACAAGGCACTCCCAGGAACAAAGTGTTGCCATGTCTCCCCGGGGGCAACTGTTACTGAGCCTATGGCTGAAAAAAATGTTATTGTCAAAGATGTGAAACATTAAAGATTCACTTGTACTAATGTAGGTCTGACTTATAAAAAAGTTTTTGACTAATGTAGGTCTTATTTCATATGAAAATGTATACAATTTTATACATTTAAAAGTGCAACCAGCAAGTCAACTAGTATTCTTATTTATTTATAAATGTATGAGTTGCCTTTCCCCAGAGATAGGGGCACCAAGGCAACTTATAATCACATCTTAAAATATTCTTAAAATTTCTGAGGAGGTCTGTGGGGGAGTTTAAGTAGATTGATACTGGCTGCAACCTCAGAGGGATGGAGATTTCTTAACTGAGAAATCAAACCAGTTTCAACTGACTGCTAACCTCCAATAGACCACCGTTTCTCAGCATAGACCCCCTAATCTGTTCTTCCCCCAAAACTTTTTTGCACATATGCAAACGTTAAGGTTGCCCCAAGCTATCTAATACCCTCCATTTTAGGTGTAGATAGTGCCACCTGTTTTGACTTTATAAGGATAACACTCAACCCTGAACATCACAAAGAGAAGAAATGATAAATGAACATAGCTTTATCCAAGGAATACTTACTATTATTCTGTGACGGTCATTTCTCAGGGAAGTACTTAATGGTAAACACACATGATTTGAGACACAAGCAGATCTGTAGGAATAAATGACAAAAGAAGAAAAACAGTATTTGTCCTTCTGTTGTAAATCCTCATCCTGTTCAGAAAGTAGAAGACAGGAGTCAGGGCCAGGCTGAATATTTACTTATTTATTAGATTTATATCCCATACTTTTTTCTTACAAGAACTCAAAACAGCTTACATCATTCACCTCCTCCTGCTTTCAGTCTTATCCACACAACACAACAGCTTAGGTTATATGACCTAATTTAAGGGGTCAGCTGTAGATCCTCTATATGAAAACAAGACAGTAAAACTTTTAAATTAGTGACATAACTCAAAGAGCGAGGGAACCCCACAATGACACAGCAGATAATTAATTTTAATCTTGATGCATTGTTGCTGATATGCTTGATGGGTTTGTTCAGCTGTGTATTTTTATATTTCATTAATATAGTTTAAGGTCTCATCTTGCAAGCTGACTTGGGGACTGAGTAGTCAAAGGCAGGAGCGACATACTTCAGGGGGCACTCCTATGTCTGACAGGCCGTAGGATACTTTGGATTGCTAGCGCTGAGGCTGAAGATGAAGCTCTGACCTGAGTTGGTGTCACCAGACTTCCTGGCAGTGCTCCAACTTTCCCTTCACCCCTGGAAATGCCTCAGCTAGCTGATGCAGAGCAGAAATGGGGAGAAAGAAACTGCTTCTGCCACTCTTCCCACTCTGCATTGGATACTCATAAGCCTCCGAGTTTTGCACGCGGAAGCACCTAGTATTACCAGCAGCCATGTGCAAAAAAATCTCTGCCCAAACCTTGGAAAGCCTTTGCTGTTTTCCTCTACCAACCTTCACACAACCGCCATTCCTGCCCCTCAGACTCCTCCCTTTAGAACTCCATTATGTGCTCCTTTTTCCCATTAGCATTTCAGGAAATTCTAAATCCATTTTCTTGAAACCTGACTTATGGATTTGAATATGCTCTTTGTTATGTTAATTAAAAACATGAGTCATCACATGGTCACTATCTCCCAAAGTTCTCTGTGCTTTAAACCTTTTCCTAACACTTCCCTAATGGTGAAAATCAAATCAAAGATAGCCAATTCCCTTGTTCATTCCACCATTTTCTGAAAGACAAAGGCATGTCAGGAATTTGCTGGAGATTCCATGTTTAGCAGAGTTTGTCTTCCAAAAGTTATCTGGGTGGTTAAAGTCCACCATTACTACTTATACATATGAATATTTTTTGTGACTTTAGCAACAGTTCTTTAGAAAGCTTCAGCGGGGCCCATTAGCTGGTTAAAATTGGGGGGGGGGTGGAATCAGAAGAACTGCATTTGTGGATGCTGTCAACCCCTTCTCTACCAGCTAACAGTTCAAGTATGGAGTTCCTCATCAGAGTTTAGATAGTGTTGTTTTTAAAGAACAAGCTCCTTGCTCTTTAAAGGGATGGGATTGGCCAGTCTCTTACCTCCTTTTGTCTCTCACACTGGTTATGTGCATAAATGGAGCTAGCTAGCATTTACTTATCAGGGTCTCTCAACCAAATAAACCTGCCTGAAATCTTGAGCACTTACCTTATTTCTGTAACCTAAAACTGTGAGATGGCAATTAGGTCTAGAGACCACAAGTTAGCAGTGTCATGTTTCAACTACTGAGAAGTAAAACTAAAATTTAAATAAATAATAAAATTTAAACACATATGCTAACCACCTTGCTTAGAAAGACAAGATACCATTACCTCCTTACACTGGTCCCACTGGCAGGAGGAAAAGTATCTTCTTTCAAACCATCCAGAGTTTCCACCACTGGAACAGACACCTCAACTGTCTTCCTTCCATTTTCTAGAAAAGACATGAACACCATTCTTTGGTTACTGAACTATTAGATGATGTTCAGCTGTTCTAGTGATAAGGAAGGATATGGATCACACACCAAATGGAGAATCAACTAGTTTAAAAAATTAGAAAAGGACTGCTTAAGTGAAAATAGTAAAAAAATAATCTAATAGTTGCCAACAGCTTATATTGATAGCTTCTATCAGCAGTATCAGGTACATACCAGGCAAGTTTCTAGGTGGTGAAAAAACTGGGGAAACTGGGGGAGACACAGAGATGAATGTAGCTACTGCCTGTTGATTGGTCAGCAACAAGAGTTTGCCACGAGCTTCTGCACTCTGACGGTTCAACTCAGCTATTCGTTCATCCAAGCTCTTTGATTCTTTTAAGCTGCTTGCGGTTTGACCATTTCCCTAAATGGGTATTTCAAGAATATGGTTAAAGGCATCTTCTAAAAAACAGAAACAAAAAGGTTTACTAGAGATATACCAACTTCAAGCAAAGTAAACAACATATTATTTCATTTATTTATTTGGCTTGTATGCTGCCCATTAGCCTTAAGTTCTCTGGACAGCTCACAACGTAATATTTGTGCGTAAAGATATTAATCTGTACTTTTGTTTGATGCAATTGTCCAATAAAAGGCAATTTCCAAAGCCTTTAACAGCATCGATTACCATCGATTTTGTGTGTGTGTGTGTCTAACATTTGTTGATTCTTCTAACTTGAAGGTATTTTAATCCTTATGTTCAAAATAGCAAAGCTTACAAAGTTTCTGTAAAACAGATGTGTGCAACTTACGTCCCGCCAGATCAGCCACAACTCTCATTAGCCCTTACCAGAATAGACATGTTGTCTGCCCCTGTTGTAGAGAAAACAATCAACGGGTATCCTCAAAAATGCTAAAGAAAGCCAATTTTGGAGTAAATAAAACCATTCTATTTAGATGGTTTAGCTATTAGAAAACTAGCTCCCATTAGTTTTCAACTAGGATTCAGATTTGACCAAAACCTGAACTAAACTGGGCCTGTTTGGACTGTTTCTTGTGCCTCCTGTGGAAAAGTGAGCTTTTCTCTAAAAAGACCAGAAACAAAGGAGGACCTATGCAAGACTTCATAGCATAATTTAGACTTACAGTATTCTCCAAAATATCTCCTTTCCAAATACCATCTTTAGGTTTTGTTTCTCTAAGCTGAGTAACTTGTGGTCCTCTAGATGTTTTGACCTACAACCCCTATAATTTTTCACTACTGGCCAAGCTGATGAGAATTCCAGGCGAAAACCTCTGGAAAAATTTAAGTTGCCAACCCCTGCTCTAAAGACTATGATGAACAGGCACATGGATCTGAATAACTGATAGATTCACCTTCTAATTGTAAGGCTTATTTTACCAGGTCTTCCAAAGGATTATGACAACTTGTGTTTCACAAGAGTGTGCCTCTCAGTTTCCTTCACTCATTGCCAGTTGTTTTTAATGTGTGAGAACTTAAATGTGGTGTAAGTAGGAGGCTGATTTTTTTAGTGGTTTCTTTTATTTTCATACCCGAGTCTTCCTTCTCCCAGCATTTTGTTGATCAGTTTTAGCCAAAAGTTTATAGACTGGAAGTTTAGCTAGATTATAGGTGTTAGCATGTTAGTTCAGGAAGCCAAAAATTTGCAGAGCGTTCAACAGAAGTTCTGAGGAACCACTGAAAAGATAGCACTTTAGGTTGTAAAAGTGAACAGAAAATTCCATCCTTTCAGACTGGTCAGAGCTAGGAATGGAAAAAAAACTAATTTAAAGATATAAAAGCTTAGACAGAGAAAAGTAGAAGCACACTGGGGTTGGGGGAAGAAAGAGAGAGAGAGAAAGGGAGTGAGGAAGAGAAGGAAAGAAACCCAGAGTTCTAAAGGAAACAAACAGTCAGAGCTGCTAGACAAGAACTAGTTGAGCATGTACTGAACCTATGACAATACGATTTTAATTAGATAAAGGACCTAGTTAAAACTGTTTCCTGCCTCTAAACAGTATCAGTGCTTAGCCCTTTGTTTAGGTCTGGTAGGAGAATCCCTAGTGGCTCTTTGCTCCCAACAATAAACTGAACATTCATTTAGAACCACCACAGAAAAGTCTTTCAACTAGAAGTACATGGAACCTTGCCTAGAGGAAAGAATACTGTTAAAGGTATCTGGAGATAATCCAGTTTTCCTATCAAGAGTCTTCCAGCTTTCATACTACCAACTAGAAAAGACAGAAATATGAGCTTAGAACTGATCCCTGATGCAGCCAATCCCTTATAGTGGAAAGCTGCCAAACTCCTGAATGGCTATGTTTAGGAGGTTAAGGAACCTTGGTAGTCTGGGAAAGTGAGAAGCTATCAGAATCACTTCTTTTGAAACTTCGTTGAGTCTCCCATTGACTTTAGGTAACAATGGGATTGGGAAATGAGGTAGTTCTGTGAGTAAACTCATTTGCACAGCATTTGTCTAGAGAGGAACCTTGGCAGCAGTACATTCTTTGACATGATGGACAGATTTATGGCTGAGAGACTAACCTGTTTTACTACTAGTTGCTGGAAGACCTGTGCACTGAGTGCTCACTCTGACTCCCTTACTGAAGTGTGGCTTATGGTTCAACATTGCAAGGTATTCCACCCAGATGGAGAAGCCTGGTTAGCAGTGAGATGAAAAGACTGCTGTTCTTCCTCAATGGTTCCAACCACCACCTTTGTTCTTTTCTGACAATCTTTGGCAAGTCAGGTGTTTCTGTCTGGCAATTTGATCTTGAAAGAAGCAAAAGGTGCTGGAGGGGCCAAGTGCAAAAAGATGCCCATGGTAGTAAAATCCTAGCATGAAACCATCATCCTTAGAAGCTGGGGCTTGGTGCATGCCATCTCTGCTGCTTGAGTAAGATACTGTGATTCATAAGACTGTGGATTTTCATGTACTTCTCCAAGATCCAAATGTTAAAGTTTAAGCCTACAATCACCCCGGGATTAAGCACTAAGGAGAGAGAAGATGGCTCTTCCAAGTTCACTACAAACCTGTGGTTCTGAAGATGAACCAGTAGTGTATTAATGTTTTGTGTGTTTATCTCTCCCAAAGGTGACCATATCAGTGTGCAATGTAAGTAGAGAAGGTGTGAGTTAGGGTACCAATACCTTGGCTCCTTAAGTCAATCCAAAGGGGAGTGCGCAATATTGACAATGGCTGTTGTAACAGAACCTTAGAAACATACAATGAGTGTTATGAATTGAAACGTGAAGATAAGCTTCCAACAAATCAATGGATGTAAGGAGTTCTGCCTGTGAAATGGCCTTCATTATTGTCTTCAGTGTATTCATCCTGAAGAGATCTATGGTGATCCCTCTGGTGTCCCTATTTCTTTTGGGAACCATAAAGAACAAAGTAAATCCTAGAATGGATGTCTACTGTTGAAGATAGGTTCTATTGCCTCAATTGTTAACAGGTAGTTTATAGCACTGAGAAAATTTTGATGCTTTGCTGGGTTCCAGACCCAAGGAGAACCTATTAATTTACCCCTTGGCTTTGAGATGAACTCCACAGCGTGCTCCTTGGAGTGTCTTTTGCACTCAGAGGCTGGAGGTGGTATGACTCTATATCTGGTAAAAAATACATAGGTCATCCCCCCCAGTCAGAATCTGATCCATGGCTAGGATGGCATCAAATGGATTGGTACCATATAGTATCTTTGGAAAATTGCAGGTGTTATTCCTCCCTTTCCTTCCACCTGAATTTGAATCTGCCTGAAGAATGAAGGGAGGTGCTGTGCATTAGAGAAATGAAAGGAAAACTGCTGTCTAGTCATCTTGTTCTCCCTCAGACCATGTACCCAGGAGGTAATCTAGGCCAAGATCCCTTCCTTCAGTTCCCTGATTTATGGTGGTACACTGAGATCAGTTATTGATGTTAAGGTCCTGGCAGATCACCCTACACACCTTTAAGGGAAGGGGTTGAAGAACTATTCCCCCCCTCCCATCAAACAGAAATACCCTGTCCCTGGCAAGAGCCTAGTGATTTCTGAGATCATTTCTAGGAAGTGTTAAGAAAGAGTGAGGATAAAAACAAGAAATACAAGGGCAAATAATAAGAGAAAAAATCACTATGAAGGCAACAAGAGTGGAGCTCAGCATTACCAAACAGCTTTTTAGGCAAAGCCAGTCTGAGAGGGCATGAAGGCTCATCACACTGCAAAAAACAACCAGCAACTCTGTTGGAGAGAGGCCCCATGCCTCCACTTCATAGAAAAGGCATTGCCTGGGAAGAAGACAAACTGTTTAGGCTACTTACATGAACAGCTGGTGTAAAAAAATCAGCCATGCTAAAAATCAGTTTTAAAATCAGAACAGTCTCCATGAAATCTATGACATTCAAGACAAGTTACATTAAATTCTCAAAGGCTACCATGATATTTCTTTTGCACCTTCAGGTTATGGGGCAGCACAGAAATGGAAATAAATATTGTTTCTGATACCACACTTTCACCATATACATCTGTGCCTGCTACAACATGTATACGTGAACACAACGTGTACATCTACATAAAGGGTGTTCAACCTTTTCTAGTTGGGGTTGCACTCTGCTGAAAGAGCAGGCTTGTAGCTTGGGGGCTCTCCTTTATCCATCTTTGTCAGCTGAGGCACAGATGGCCTCAGTGGCTTGGAGTGCCTACTACCAACTTCAGCTGGTGGCCCAACTATGCCCCTATCTGGACAGGGATGGTCTGGTTTCAATAGTCTATGCTGTGATAATCTCCAAATTAGATTACTGCAATGCATGCTACATGGAACTGCCCTTGAAGACTGTTCAGAAGCTGCTGCATATGCAGATTGCAGCAGCCAGATTAATAACTGGGGACTGCAGATTTTAACATACAAGTCTACTTCTGGCCTGCTTGCATTAGTTTGCTGTATGTTTCGATGTCCAATTCAAGGTGGTGGCTTTAACCTATAAAGCTTATATGACTTGGATCCACACCACCTGTTGGAATGCCTCTCTCAGCCACACTCTACTTGGATATTACACTCAATCTCTAGGGGCTTTCTCCAAGGGCCAAACCCACGGGAGGGTTGAAGGATGGTAACAAGGAGGGCTTTCTCTGCAATGGCTATGGAACAGTCTCCCCACTGTGGCCTGCCTGGTGCCAGCCTTGTAAAATCTTTCCAGTACCAGGTTAACACAGCTCTTCATGCTGAAGCTTTAAATGTTATTCATAGCTACCCAGGGACTTGAGAGAATTATCCATCCCAGCTATTTTACACGGTTATTCTTCACTGTATGCTTTACCTGTTTTAAATGTACTAATGTTTCTTAGATTTTATGGTATGTTACTGTATTTTATTGTCTTGCTTTTTGTGGATTGTTGTAAACTGCCCAGAGAACTTTGGCTATAGGGTGGTACTGAAAGGACAGGACAGGATCCTATACATACCACTGTGATTATGAAGATGCACGCAGTATAGGTTGACTGGACAACTATCCCACAGCACACAGAAGAGAAGTGAAACAACAGGATAGTAAGAGTACTCCTGTCTGGGTAACTGAAGATTACTTTCTGTACAAAGCATACAGTTGATATACATGTATGCAAGGATGCACACACAGACTCTCATAAGTACTTTGCTTTTCACAAGTGTTAATAGCTCCAAAGAACCCCCAAAGTTAAATAATTGAGAGGCTGCAGGAGTGTGGCTCTTGTGTCCTTACCTGTCTCTCTACATCTGATACATCCTGCATAGTTTCTGCTTGCTGCAAACTATCCCAGGCCTGCTCATGGCAATGCCCAAATGCTCTCAGCTGAGTTTTAATAACAGAGTTCTGGTGTGTTAGCTCATTTATTTGCTCCTGAAGATCTTCATTCTGTGTACACATCATAGATACACCAGGATCAATCCCCTCTGTAGCATCATCAAAACCTGGTCTTGGTGCTGCAGAGATGTTTTCTAATATTTGACCATGTGACCTGAACGAATTATGCATGGTTTGGATTGCAACAGGAACGCAGACTTTCTGTGTTAAGAGACTGCCATCTTCCTGTACCATCAGTGGTTTGTGTGAAGGAGTAGAGATCTGCTCTCCATCTGTCTCTCTCCTAGTGGAATCTGTGGGAAGACAACATGCTGTACCAATGCATATGCTTCACTATCTTTAATCCTAAACCTTCAGTAAGGGATGGTCTGGAAAAGTTTTAAATAAATAAATCAAGACAGCTTAACCAGGCTGACCAAGTGTGCTGGAAACATCTGAGTGGTGAAGGCCTGTTACAATGTTCTCATTTTTTTTTTCATAGTCAGGCAAAGTATGAAAAAACTTATGCCCAAGTAATATGCTTGCCATCACATCTAAATGATGCACTTAACAGAAGCAAACTCATGTGCAGGGTTTGTACATTTGAGAAGTGCCATGTAATTTTATGCTCAGTATCAAGGATTATTTTCTGGAAATCTAAAATCAGTCGGTCTTTAAATAAAACTTAACGATTTGTACTTTGCATTTTAAATGCAATTTCATCCAAATACACAGTATTGCTTCATCTAGCACAATCATATGTTCAAACAACATTCTTTCTTCAGTAATTTTGACAGGCTTCAGTTTCCATGGAGAACATCTTACATTACAAAAGCTGGCCTGTCACAAGCACTATCCTGTCTTTAAAAAACATAATGCCTCAAAGCAGCTGGGAGAGTTGACAGAAACTGTGATACTACAAAACATGGCAGTGCCACAAGTGGTTGCAAATATAAAGGAGGCAGTATCCTGCTATTAATTCAGATTGGATTGCCTAGAACTAACTTTCTAGAATTGAACAATAGCCACTGTCACTACTGTGTTTAAGATTAGATGGAAAGTGACCGTGGCTATACTACAAGTAGATATAGAAGGACTTATATACAACATGGTAGATGGTGGATTAATTATTGAAAAACAAAGCCAAACACTATAGTGCAATTCAAGTGGCCCTCTTACCATCCTGAAGAAGAGGCAAGGCCTCACTGCTCTTCTGTTGTGGTGGTGATAACAAGACAGCTGGTTGGAATATATGAGTTGATAATGTAGGGGTAGGATGAATTTTCTTGGGAGGATTTAGGACTGCAGCTTTATTGGGAAGATCTACTGGCAAAGCATCAAGCCAGTTTGTCTTTGGCCCATTATAATCTAAAATGGGTTCATCTGACAAGAGAAAGTAAATGAGACAATGTGCTAGGTTAGAACCAAGGAAGCTACCAAAAGAGATTGCCTCATAATGAATTCTATATAAGGTCACATAAATTTTGGATGTTCTTGACACCCAAATGCTTGCTTTTTAAAATAAATTTGTATTAATTTAAAAATGTAGAATAAAATTGAGAGAAAAACATACAATAAAACAAAAACATTAAACATTATACAATTATAATAAAACATAAAAAAGACTGTGCATCCCACCACAGGCACTGATGGATACATGTTAAAAGTGCTTTCAACAATTATTTCAGAAAGCTCCATCCCCCTTCCAAATTGCATGGACTCCTGTGAAAGTGCAAATCCTTTCTCTTTTTTTAACACACAATAAATGAACCCCAAATATTATCAAAATTACTTTTTATATACCCGTATTTAATATCACAAGTTAATTGATCATTAATAGCTATATTCCAAGCTTCTCTATACTGCTCAATTGATAATCATGTTTACATTGGTTATTAATTCTTTAATATTCCAACTCCATTGTTTTCTATCGAATATTGACATTAATGCAATCTCAGGAGCTACTTTAATATTTAAATTTAATATTTTACTAATCTCATTAAAGATCTCTTTCCAAAACTTCATTATATATTAACATTCCTATTGCATATGATAATATGTATCCACTCCACAACCATATCTCCAACATAAATTGGAATATTTGATATCTATATGATTCAACTTTACCAGGGTTGGGTACCATTTCCAAAGTTATTTATAAAACTTCTAATCCTAACCCTTTATTCTTACTGACAAACACTTTAATATTCTTTTAGCTGAGATATTCTCAGTCTTCATTGCTGATATTCTTTCTCAAATCTGTTTCCTATGTTGCTTTAAGTGGATCGTATTGATCCACATCTTCTAATAATATTTTATAAAGTTTACTTACTATCCCTTTCATCTGCATATTGTCTTGTTTTTCCTTCTCCATTATCATATCTTCAATTTTAGCATAATCTCTAAATCCACCTTTTTTTCTTCAACCAATCTTTGGTCCAACATTCTCGTTGGATCACATTAAGTCAAGTTATTTTCCCCCCTTCTAATGCTGCTCTTTTCCTTCCGTTTTTATTCATTTTCTCTAACCAATCTTTAAATGTAATAAGCTGTTTATTCCGTAATATTTTCCCCAAACTTTCTCTCAAATTTAATGGAAATCCTTCTAATTCAGTAACGGGATATAATGGTGAGACTGATGGCATAAGCTTTTCCTTATACTTATTCCAAATTTGTAACATATTTTTAAGGAATTTGCAAGAGCCTCAGGACGGCTTACACAAATACAATTCCAAGGTACATAAACAATAAATTTTAACCATATTACCTTATCAGGCTGCAATATAATAGCTGGTATATGCCTCACTTGATTTGCTACATAATACAACTTTACATTAGGAACACCTAATCTCCCTATCTTTTGTGATCTATGCCATCTTTTTTTAATTTATCCTCCCTTTTTTGTCCCCATTACAAAACTTATTATATCTTGCCATTTTTTCAATTCTTAGCCATTATTTTAATTGATATCATAAACAAAAAAAAAAGTTCAGGAAGGATTTTCATTTTAAACACTGCTATTCTACCAAACCATGATAGTCCAATCTTCCTAAATTCATTCATTTTCTCTTCTATATCATGTTTCAATCTGTCAAAATTATTTTTAAGCATTGTAAATTTTTAGTAATATTCATACCTAAATACTTAATAACTCTGCATATCTTAACTTTGAATTTATTCCTAATCTTTCCTTATCACAATTAAACATCATCTCTGATTCATCCCAGTTTATCAGTAAACTTCTTCAAATTCTTCCAAATATATTTTAACCTGGTTAAAATTTTAGATGGATCCTTTATTGTTAACAAAGTATCATCAGCAAATAAATAATCTTAATTTCATTCTCAGAATCTATACCTTTTATTATATTATCATTCTTAACAGTATTTAGTAATAGTAATAATTCTATAACTAAAGCAAACAATATTGGGGAAAAGGGCCATCCATGTCTAGTATACTAACCGAGGGATAATTGCTCCATTATGCCATCCTTTACTATCCCATTTTCCAAATATTAATGTTTCTATTAATTGCTTTAATGTTGGCCAATCTACACAATCAAAGGCTTAAAAGTAACCAATGCCATTATGCTGCTGCTAGGTGCGAAGTCGCATATGACCCTTCGTGACCCCATGGACAACACTCCTTGAATCACCACTTGGATGGAACTGCTGGCCTCAGTATCAAGCATTAATCCCTCCCTAGTCAAGAAGCCCACAACCAGTCCTCCATTTCAGGGATCATATACATGATTCCCAAACAGATACTGGTTGTTTCATCCATGAACCTTGCAATGTAATTATGAGCCCTGAATACAGGCTTGGAGGGCTCTTACTTCCTAAACACACCAGCAGTTCCTCCTAAGACTGACAGTTTTGGGGAAAAAAAACATAACTATTGTAAGATGTCCAGCTAGTCAAATCTTGAGTACCCTTTGATGTACATATTTTGACATGGGCTGCTGGATGATTACAGGAAAGTGACAATGTCATCTTGAAATTTGTGATAGAGAAGGCTTGTGAAACCTGAGCTTAATTGGATGCATAGCTGGACTTTAAGAAAGTTCACTGCAAAAGGCTCAGAGAAAAGTTAGGCAGAGTCCCATTGCAGGAACCCAGGAGGGAAAAAGAGCTCAAGAGGGATGTGAAATCCTAAAAACTGAAAGGCTGAAGGATATAATCACAAGCTATCGTTACGAGAAGGAAAATGGAGGGTATTTAAAGAAGCCTGTGTAGAGGGAGCTCTCTGATGAGGTGAAACTCAAAAAAGTAAGATAAAGAAAATGGAATGAGAGACAGTCTACCAGGTACAGCACAGTTTCCCCAACTTGTCAGAAAGACACGGGTGCGGATGAATGAGGAATGCTAGAAATAACAAAAGCTTCTTTGGCTATCTTTGGAGCAAGAAGGTGAATCAATTAAAAATGATAGGGAATATGTGCAAATACTCTGTTCCTATTTTGCCTCAGTCTTCTCCCAGAAGGGGTGTTGTGTTCAACTTGGAACAAGGCCAAGTAAGTAACTGCATCCCAGAGTACATAAGCATGCATTTACTACTTCAAATGAGTTCAAGTCTCAAGGGCTAGATAAATCACATCCCTGGCTTGGCTTTGAAGAGGTTGGAAACATTATTTCAGAGCCACTGTCTGTAACTTAGAGAACAGATGGAGATGAGCAAATATTGTCCCAAAAGGGGAGAAAAGTTGATCCAGGAATCTCACATACCAGTCAACCTGACATCAATACTAGGAAAAATTATTTAACAGGTGATTAAAGTCATGCCATGTCACAGAGTTGAGAAGAGGTGGTAAATCATGGGAATGCTGTAGACACAATATATTACGATTTTAAGCAAACCATTCGAAAAGTTTTCTCACAGTTATGTTGGCACAATGTAGGTTGGACAATGCTATAGTTGAGTACTAGTGGGTACATACACAGTGAATTAGTATTAAGGGATGGAAGTCTCCAGTACAATATCCCAGGGTTTTGTTCTAGGACTGCGCTAGTCAACAATTTCATAAATTACATAGCTGAGGGTGCAGAGGGTTCGCTTATCAAATCTATAGATGACATAAAGCTAGGAGGGATTGCTAATACCACATTCTATGAACTGGATCATCCAGTGAAAGGCCCATACCTTTGGCTAACTCTGGACTCTGTACTAGAAGTTTCCCACTCTCTCCAGAATGACTTCTTCTGCTAATATCTGTGACAGAAAGGCCTTGAAGTGCATGAGAGAGTGAGACCAGTTTTTCATCTCTTACAACCAAGCACTGCTGCAGCTTACTCTAGAAGAGAAAGGTAGAAAGAAATACACTGAGATCTCCATTCTAATTGGCTTATTACTTGCACATACAACCTGAAGAGTATTTCCAATCATTTGTTTCTACATTCTCTGGATGCAATGGCTGGTCTGTTAAATATATTATTTGTTCTTTAGCATACTACTGTGCAAGGAACTCAACATTTTCATAGAGCATTTAAACTATATTTTCTGGAAATATAATACATTACTGTACAAAGATAATTTAACAAACGAGGGCATCATTTTATTAATTAATGGTTTCATAGACCATCACAATAGCCACATGGCTCCCTGGATGGTTTAAAACAATTAAAAACCATCAAGTGTATACAAACAAAATTATAAGCATGAATCAAACATAGGTTACACAGTGTAACAGAAATTGTGGGCGGTACCTGCATAGCATGGTTTTCTTCCCTCAGCAGTAAGACTTCAGCAGTTAAAGCATCAATGAGGGCCCTGTGTTCCCCTAGCTCCTTTTCAAGCTGCTGCCTGTCCACCATTTCTTGGTGCATCCTTCTCTCATTCTTTTGGGGACAGAGAAAGAGGGAGGAACAGGTAACAGTATCATATTCATGAGCACATGAGTGATCAACATTACACAGCATGGATAAGCACTTATATAAAAGTCAGGCCTATAAACCAGTTCCCAGGAAAGTTTAGAAGCAGAATGTAGGTGAGATTCAAAGTTTAGGCACCCCAATACTCAGAAGAGGTAAGGATGTTATAGACCACATGCCTAATTGGTTTATTCAAGCTTTACATTGAGGGAAGGAAGTGAAGGAACGAATCATTCTTGTATTTCATTGTTTTCTTCATTCCTATTTGAGTCCTTTCCTTAAAGTGCTCAGAGCAACTTAGAATTTTTAAAGGTTTAATTATTTTAAATATACTTTTTCCTGTTACATGGCCCAAGCCAAACACTATGGGAGGCTTTCACTGTTAAAAAAACACAACACTAAAACCTCTTCACAAAATTAATTTAAGAGCTAAGTTACTATGGAAACAAAACCAGATCACTTTTCAAATAAAGAGGAATTTGCCCACTGTTCCAAAATGCTGGCTGAAACTGTCAGCCTGCTATGCTCTTCTCCACGTGTAAGAAGCTGAAGCAGGTATTAGATCCCCATTCAGATTTTCCATTATTATCTTCCAGCTAATATTTGGCTACTGAATATGCTCAATCCTCATTGGGCTGCTTTGTGCCCTAGCAGGCTTATGCTTTTATTGATCTTCAGTCTGCTGCAAACCTCAGGATTCTCTAACGCACGCTTGCTTCTCAGTGACCATGTTTTGGTTCCAACAACATTATTAGAGGGAATGGCATGTACCTGAAAAATTCACAGTATCTAGAAACATGTGCACATTTGTTAATTTTCTGAACAGATTCTTAAAACAGCTGCCTTCAGGAAAATCTCTCAAGGAGAGATTTCAATTCTGAAACAAAACAATCCATTCTAATTGCTTCCCCCTCAATAGCAATAGGAAACAACCTAAAACAAATATAGTACTGAACTAGCACTGAGATGGTAAAAAAGAAAGCCAAAAGCAGATTAAATGTGTGCTTATTGTACTTGGAAACAATTCAAAGTTTTTTCTCACCTCTTTCAAATAATGCATCACCCGACACAGAGCATTCACCAGTGAGTGAGTAAATCCAGAGACGCCTTGATTATCATGCACTTGCTGTATTTCATGTCCCATCCACTTCTCATATTCCTCCATTTCATGCATCATTTGATTCAAGACCTCTAGGCTGGTTCTGTTGCCATTTGGAAGGTCAAAGGAAGTTGCAGCAGTGCTCAAGTTCTTCTTCTTTTGTCCAGCAGGCATCTGCGGACTTTGTTTCTTCTTCACTGAGAAAAGGACAGGAAAACATTTTCATTCTCATTTGTCAATAATGTTTGTGACAAACCAAATACTACATTAAAAGAACAAAAAAACCTAAGTTTTAAATGTGTAAAAATCACTCATATTAATATTCTATACCACCTTGGACTGAAACTCTTTGGGCATTCACAACATTTTAAGTCACCCATTCAAATTTCAACCAGACCCGATCCTGCATAGCTTGCAAGATTAGGCAGTATCAAGCACTTCAAGCTAAGTGGAAACTAGATACACCACACGATCCAGAAATCATAGGTTAACGCACTTAGCTTAGGGTAGCATCTGACATTACTTTTCTTAAATGAAGAGGAAACACTCTTTCAGGGCAAGAGAAAAAAGTGACAAACTGCTATATGTTATCCTTATTTATAAGTAGGACAGAGAAACAAGCACCCAACAAGCACAGGAACTCTGGAAGTACTTCCTCAGTAAAGCTAATAAACCTATTTACTGCACAGTTCAAACTTGGACTAAGACTTAAACAAAAATGAGACAAACAAAAATCAAGTTTTTAAGATAAGCAGCTCTTTTGCTCTAGTTTGGACAATATTTATGTATTAAAATTAAGCAACCTTCTCAAGAAAACTGTTTTTTCCTTTCAAATCACTGATACTAGAATAAGATTTTTGTTTTTCCAAGAAAAGGAGAAAGAAAAAAAAATGGTAACATTTGAGTGTTCAATGCTTTCCAGAATTACAGAAGTCCGATTAAAGTCAGTCATGCCTATTATTTGCCCATAATCAGGTAACATCTAGAACAGGTGTCCCCACTACCTCAACCTATTTTAGGTTACCTCAAGAATTTCTGAACAATTCAAGGTCCAGAAGTTTTATTCATTTATGAAATTTCTACCCTGCACATTAGCCAAGATGACTCTTTTTGTTCTCTGTACATACAGAAGGAACAGAACAGGAGATAATGAGAGGGGAAGCAGGGCCTTTCCAGCAAACAGGGAAGCATATGTGAACTTGGAAGAGCCTTGCCTTGTTTTCTATAGTGCTGAAATTACACCATGGCTTGGTGTTATGTCCATGGCCTGGTATTATGTTCATCCAGGCCAGCATAGCTGCTCACCTTAAAAAGAGGGAAAGAAATGCATCCTTTCCCCTCAGGTTTCAGTGATGAGGGGTGGAACACTTTTCCCCTTTTGTGCACAATGATGCACAAGATGTTTTGTGCTCTAAAGTTAATTAGTAACGGAATGAGTACAATCCGTAATACATATAACACCAACCACATTTTAATTAGCTTCTTTTAGGAATGATTCTATAGCCTCCTGAGTTCAGAGATGTACATGCATTGAGTTTGTAGGTAAGTATCTCTAGAAAGCACATACATTTATGCTCACATGTCTTCAGGTATGTTAAACAAGTATGTTAATTAGTAAGGTTTTTCATCAAAGTCTAACTAACGTAAGATATAAGCAATACTATAGACTTTCCTTAAAGTACCTACAAGTAGCCTTTATAATAAGTATTTCAGGGTTGATCTTTGTATTTGCTTGAATATTACATTTAAACCATCTAACAGCACAAACCTCTGCATCTCTACTCTAAAGTTCAGAGCGTTGACAGCAGCCTATATCTTGACTACTCCCATCTTAAACTGAACTGATACCTCTGTGCTTGACCATTTCCTTGCCTAACTCATTTTCCATAGGTTTTCCTAAATTTGTCCCAGGGTTGAGTCTAGTCCAGCCACAGCAGGACAATCCTGAGCACTTCCAACCACCATCACCTTGGTTTCATTTGAAGGAAAAGGGAAATGAAGCAGGCGGATAAAGGGAACTGAAGAAAAATGAAAGAAAAAGAGGGTACCCCCACCCACAGCTGGCCTTGGCTTCGCTCAGAGCAAGGTGTGCAGGCCTTGACAGAGAAAAGTTCTCCAGTCTGCATTTATTCCAAAAGAACTGATACAATGAGGGATCTAGTGGCTCTGCACAAAAGAGTCAAGCAATACTCAACACAAAAAGGCAGAAACATCATTGAAGAATGCCTGCTACCTGAGAAGATGCAGTATTTTTGCAGTGGGTACAACTTTACTTCTAAAGCAATTCTTTGTAACAATTCAATAGGACCAAATTGCAAACCCAACTTTAAAGTATGTTTTTTGAGCTAACCTCTATTACATATACACTCCTTAACAGGAACTCAAGTCTCAGGCTTCATTCACTGGGTGTTGATGTATCAATGTCTGGGCTATATCATCTGAGAACACATGTGGGGGCTCCTGCGTCTGAACACTTCTGAACAGAAACATTCCCTCCATTCAGAAAACTAGCATGTCAGGAAAAGGCCAGGTTACAACCTGTACCCTGACATACTAGATTTCTATAGGCATGGAGTCTGTGCACATTCAGTCATCTTAGCCCCTTTCTGCAGCAGCACAGGCATCATACAACAGTGAAAACTAGGACTCAGCCAAAGCTTTATACAACAAGTGGAAGAAAGCAGACCAATCTTTCTGACATTTGAATGAATGAGCCATATTAAAATCATACCTTTTGTAACTGTTTGTTTCTCCTTCCTTACATTAGCATTCAGTACTTGCTGCACAACGAATGTGGTATATGGAATCTGTTCTTCATTCTGAACTCTTGAATGAACTTTCCTGACTACATTCGTAGCATTAAGGGCTAAACGAATGCAAAAAACCATGGGTGCAATACATTATTATATAGTTTAATCAGTATTCTCAAATATATCATTTTAAAAAGCAGAGAGCTCTGCTCAGTGTGGCAGACAGGCTCCGAAGTGTTCTCTGCAGGAGAAGCGGTCAGAAGGTAGATCTGGACTTAGTAGCAAATCTCTGAGTGATCTGCAGTAGAACAATAATTTCTTTCCAATTATTTAACAATAGCAGGGATAAAATGACTCCCCATACACCCTAAATTATATTGCTGCAATGAGCAATGTTTGTGGTAACCAGGAGATGGTTTGTGGATGATTTGTGGACTGTGAGCTCAGCTCAAAGTAACTCCTTACATTCAGCGTTCTTTATTTTTTACTTCATACCTTTTGCATCTTGCACCAGCTGATAAAGCCTAGGGTTCTAGTAAAAGCAGCAGAATCAATCCAACAAGACTGAAGTTGGCCCACTCTTGCCCTACAGGAATTCCAACCAGCTACTTTCTGTTTCTGGTGTTTTGTTTTGCTATAAAAAGATAGTAAAGTGAACCTGTATGTTCCAGTAACTGATAAGCTGTTGTTGGTGTTGAAACTCCATCTACTTCTTGTGGTGAGATGGTGGATGCTTGTTGCTCAAAAGCCTCTTCTTGGTCAATGGCCACAGAGTTTTCTTCTTTCAAAAGGAGAGGCATCCTAGGTAGAGAACAAAGATGCAAACCAAATTTAGGTACAGTGGAAGTCTTTTTTGGCTGAAGAGCAAGGGAAAACTGGTGTAAATACGTAACCTTAACAGTCAATTCAGCTATGTCAGAAAAAGAAAGGAAGCAGTACCATTCTATCATCTTTGTTGAGGCCCCAACATCTGGCTCCTTCTCTTGCTGAACTGGTCATTTCAGTTTGTTACTATCAGAATTGTGGGACTAGGAAAATGTATAAAATGTTCTAGTAGCTTTTTTGGCTGGTAAGTGGGAGTAAAAATGTTTCAAATATCATCATCCAACCGAGGAACATATTTGCCAGTATAATCAATACATACACTATTTCTAGAAAGCATCTTCAACCCCCAATTGCAGTATTTTATCACATATTTATGTATAGGCAGATAATTTTTAATTTATAAAATTTATTTTTCTTATTTACAGTATTTTTGCCCAGAGTGCATTATCTCAGGAGGCATACAATAGCTGTACCTAAGGGGGCTTGGTTGATGTGTTTTCAAAGCCCTTTGAAACTGAGAAATTGTTCTTTGTTTGCCTTTCAGAGGAGAACCATGTTCCACAGGTATCCAGAAATATACAGAATAAGGAGGAAGATTATGCTTTGATTTTAGTCTTGGTTGTTGTGGAGAAAGCTGCAAAAGTTTCGGCACTAATTTTTCATCCAGATGTCCACAATGGCCTCTGTAAACACACACATGGGAGCAAAACCTACAGAACTCTGTCAGCTGGATGAGTAATACAAGAGAAGATATTCTAATACCAACATATTTTACTGCAAAATTCAAAGCCAGTTATTTTATTTAAGTGCTGTAGTGGTTCACAAAGAGCAACTACCACCTGTGAGAGGAGAGCAGTTAGATTTGCAAATGATGTATAAACTAAGAAACCATTTGCAGTTATGTAAAGTGCATGAATCAGTGAAAGCAAACAGAGATAAACACCAACCTGTCTGTATTAACACTGGATCTGAAGTTCAGAGACACATCATTCTCGTTGCTTGTCTTGCACTTGGAAGCATGCTCTACTTCATTGACAGCCTTCCAGAAAACAGAGATAACACTGTTTGAGAGCTGCTTTTGATTGTATTTTACAGGCTGACAAAAGCCCTGGACCAATCATCCCTAAGCTGGTGCTATCCAGATGTTTTAGAGTTCAGTACTCATTGGCCTTAGTTGACATGGCCAATGCCTAGATATGGGAGTTGTAGTACCAAATACCTGACACCACAATGGAGAAGCCAGCCAAATTACTGCTACCAATGCAGTTAAAGGGAACACACTGTTTTGTGTCTGTGCAAGTTTTAATTTTACCATAGTAGCAGCAGAAAAATGAATTGGAATTGACCAGGTGGGTAGAAGGAAAACTCAACACAGCTCTAGAACATTTAAAAACATCAAACATGCTAGCACAAAATTGTTTTCAGGCCATACAGTTTCAATAAAATTGAAACAACTGAGACATTCAGCCTTAAACATATGTGCCCTCTACTGGCAGAATGATATGGTGTACCAAAAAGAAAGCTGTAAGAACACAGGTAATCTCTGGGTTAAGAATGAGTTCTGTGCCCGAGAACATCCCTAAGTTGAATTTCTATGCAAGCCAGATCACATGAGTAAGCCAAATGTTTGCCTTAGTAGATGCATACTTTCTATGCATATAAAACACTTAAACACTTGCATATTCACTAAAACATCTTAAACACAATATAACATTGTGATAAAAAGTAACTACAGGTACAGAAGAGAGAATCTGTATGTATGTGTGTTGGTATACAGTATTATAAATAGCGATCAGTTCTTGAAACCGTTTAGAATATTCTTGAGAAAACATTAAGCCTAATATTGATGATAGAAATTGACCTGGTGCTGGAGAGGCAGGGTTTGATTATGCTGCTGTGGGGAGGAGGGTTACCACTTGAATCTCTTTCTTAAAGTAGGCCTCAAGGGTTGTTTGTACAGCCATTTTCTTTTTCTGATCTTAAATGGCCTTGTAGCAGCTGAGGGTCTGGTTACAAGAGCAAATGCTAAACAAAAGCCAAAGGGAAACTATGTGTCCTACATGTGCCCCAAAACACACTGGCTCTGGGCATGCTTGAACTGTAAATACTGTATCTCTAGGAAACCACATGACCCCTGATGACACTTCGCCAAATGCGTCATAAGGTTTATGGGAGTCCATGCATTCGTACAGGTTGTAGCCCTCTGGGCTACTAAGGTGGTATATAAATGCAATAAATAAATAAATAAAAACACCTGGATGTTTGTAACCCAGGGACTTCCTCTTTCCAAACATATTTCTGCAATTAGTTTTTTATATACAACACAATCCTATGTTGGTTTATTCAAAATTAATAATCTCAGGTAAGTGAGCATAGGACTGCAGTCTTAATTACTAATTGATTGAAGTAAACTAGGTAGACATAGGTTTACATTCTTAGAAATTATTTTATACCAAAATTACTGTTGAAATCGTAAATTAAATTTGTTAAGGTGACATGCACTTTCAAAACATGTCTTGGGTTCTTTGTGAAAAGAAGAAAGCATCTATAAATGTAATGCAATGATGATAAATCCCTAATTTTATAGGTTCTTAGAATTACATAGTTAAAAAGAAAAACAAAAGATTCAAATTGACACACTATCAGAGGAACTCCAAGTAAAAGTCAAATGCACTCAAGTGTTTTGCTTATATCTATAGATTGATGAAAGTTCATGTCAGAATAAAATATATTCATCTTGGATACTCTGCATGCATCTTCTCCAAACTGGCATTGCTATTTCTCAGCCACACTTCCACAGACTGACTGACAATAGCCTAATTCTGAGATCCATGTCTTGACCTCAGAAATATACCCCTCAGCCTACTTCCTTCATAACATGATACAGTTCATATGAAAAATAATTACCTGACGATCCATGACAGACTCACTAAGAATGGAGAGCTGTGTGGGGGGATCAGACTTTTGTACGATAGGGCCTAGGGAGGACTGCATGTCATAATCAGGAGCTACTGTCACATTTGGGAAACCTAAGAGGTGGTAAAGGAAGCTCAGAATGTTGCATAATAATAGAAAATAGACAATTATTATTATTGCTATTATTACATTTGTATGCCACTCCAGAGCCCATAGGGCACTCTGGGCAGCTTACAATAAAACAAAAATAATACAAATTCAACTACAAAATACAAAAATATAATCAAAACAAAATACAATATTAATTACAAAAGGCAAAAATAAAAAAGTAATACTTAATACAATAATATAATGCATAATAAAAAGCAACAACAACATACAACTATAACCTCTCCCCCAGTCAAAAAACCCCCAGTGCCCAAACCAGCACAGCTGGCTGAAAAAGTGCAGCCTGTGCAGCCCCACCTGACATTGCCTCTACAATGCAGCTGCAAGAGGGGCAGACCCCCTTCCCTCCTCTCCCTGGTGGTGGCATTCTCCCTACCAGTGTCGGGGGGGGGGGGGCAGCAAGCAATGGAGGCAGCAGAGTCCATGCTGCTCTGTGGAGGGTGAAGATATAGGCCCAAATGGGCCCCAAATGGATGTTGAACAAGCAGCAAATAGTCAGTGCCCTTTGGCATCTGTTGTTTGGCTGCTGCCTATTAATAACTGAACTCTCCTAGGACCAATATTAGAAATTAATTATATTCCATTGTCACAGAAGAGTAAAAGAATACACCATTCCTAAACAACCTTTAATGTTTCCTTGAAAGACAACTATCTTGTATTCCAGAGAGATAATCTGTTATAACAAAGCAGTAATCTTGTCGTACCTTCAAGACTAATTTCTTTACAGGCCAGAACCCACTTCTTGAGATACATGAAGTTAGTAGTTAAATATATCCTGAAATCAGAGTTATACTATCCTGTGCTTGCGACTGAGAAGGTTCACATGAACAGCATTTGCATCAAGTTGGAACTGGGGTTTAGTAGAAGAGGAAGAGATACACCATATGAGGGGGAAGGGATGGTGGTGCGTGTACACACAAAAGAAAGCTAAAACAAAAAATTAAAACTATAAAAAGAGTTCTGCTAGGTAAGACCAATGATCCATCTTGTTCAGCATCCTGTTTCTGGGAAGCCTAGGATGAAGATACAAAGATAGCACCAGGTCTTCAGTACCACATTTAAACCCAGAGGTTACATATAATGATCATGACTACTAAGTACTGACAGCTACATCTATGAATCTGTTCACTTCTTCCTTCTTGTTGTTAGTCGCGAAGTTGTGTCCAACCCATCACGACCCCATGGACGACATTCCTCCAGGCCTTCCCGTCCTCCACCATCCCCCGGAGTCCACTAAAGCTCACACCAACCGCTTCAGTGACTCCATCTAGCCACCTCATCCTCTGCTGTCCCCTTCTTCTTTTCCATCTATTGTTCCCAGCATCAGGCTCTTCTCCAGTGAGTCCTTCCTTCTCATTAGGTGGCCAAAGTATTTGAGTTTCATCTGCAGTATCTGGCCTTCTAAAGAGCAGTCAGGGTTGATCTCCTCTAGGACTGACCGGTTTGATCGCCTTGCGGTCCAAAGGACTCGCAGGAGTCTTCTCCAGCACCACAATTCAAAAGCCGCAATCCTTTGGCGCTCAACCTTCCTTATGGCCCAGCTTTCACCACTATACATTGCAACTGGGAAAACCATAGCCTTGACTATACGCACTTTTGTTGGCAGGGTGATGTCTCTGCTTTTTAGTATGTTGTCTAGATTTGCCATAGCTTTCCTCCCCAGGAGCAAGCGTCTTTTAATTTCTTGGCTGCAGTCCCCATCTGCAGTGATCTTGGAGCCCAGGAAAATAAAATCTGTCACTACCTCCATTTCTTCCCCATCTATTTGCCAGGAAGTGAGAGGGCCAGATGCCATGATCTTAGTTTTCTTAATGCTGAGTTTCAAGCCTACTTTTGCGCTCTCCTCCTTCACCGGCATCAAGAGGCTCTTTCGTTCCTCTTCACTTTCTGCCATTAGAGCGGTATCATCTGCATATCTGAGGTTGTTGATATTTCTGGTAGTTCTCGGTCCACATACTGCTGGAGCCTAGCTCGTAGGATTTTGAGCATAACTTTGCTAGCATGTGAAATGAGTGCACTTCTTCCTTAAAGTCACTTAAACTGGATGCTATCACACCTTATGGCAGCAAATTCACAAATTTCACAGGTTAATTATATGATGCCTTTTCCATCTGTTATAAGCCCCCTGTCAGTTTTAGTTGGTAACTCCAAATTGTAGAATTATATGAGAGGAAGAAAAAAACAGTTCACTTTCCCCACCATTAACCTCTATAATTTCCCCATTAAGTCACCTTTCTTCTAACCTAACCCTACCACCCAGCCTTAGGGAATGTGATCCAGTCCATAATTTGCTGACTGAACACTAGGAACAAGAAAAAGAGTTATGCACATTAGAATTAACCAACCAATATGCTGGCTCTAAGTTTCCAGCACTCATACCCAAGTTATACTATTAGATGCAGGGAAAGCACTGAAACTACTCATGAAAAAGTTTGACTTCCACAAGCGCCAAGATCCATTGAAAGAAATAGTGTGCAGTTCTGAGTCTCTAGCTGAATCCCATCTATCACTCTCTAAGAAAATTCCAAAGATTTTAAGTGGATTTCTTGCATAGCTACTATAAACAAAGTCTGTAATACAGTTACGGCAGCTTCAAAAGCAGTTTTATGTGAATTATCTCTTCCAGCATACAACATCAATTTTATACCTGCTAAGCAATGAAACTGTATTAATTTATGAATTATATCAATGCATAACTATACAATAATTTATGTAATCAATGTAGTGAAACCTCACCTAAATGTCTGTGAGGGGTATCACCAAATAGGTCTTTCACCATAGCCATAGCCTGATCAGATCTCTCCAGGACATCCTGTAGCTGGTACTGCTCAGAGAGAATCTAAAAGGAACAAATCACAGGAAATACATTCTATTTGTATTTCTTTCCTTTCCTTATCCTACATCTTCTCTCCAAAATAAAACAATTTTGCAGAATTAAGAATAGACACACATAAGCATTTAGCAATGAAGTTCATGAAATGCTACTTTTTATTAAGACCAATTGGAGTTCAAGTGCAACAAACGGGCAGTGACAGCATGATTAACTCAATAAATATCTTAGGGTAACATCCATTGCGGCTGCCCATAACCCACTGAACCTGGATGTTTATGACCAATCAAGAGCAAAAACACAGAGGCACAGGCAGTTTCTGCATTTCCCTCACGATGAAAAGCCCCCCAGATGACTGATTTCAGCTATGTCTTCTGCCCCTGCTCATGAGGGGCAGAAGCCTCCCATCCCCATCAGAGCACCCCATCACATTTACAACTTCAAAGCCAGAGCCAATGAAGAAAAAAGCAGAGGATGACCCCCAGTCCAACCTGGGAACACATTTCCGATGTCAGAGTTGGGACGCCAACCTTTCCAACAGCCAACTCGGACTTATCCTATGGCTGTCAACTCCTACACATACAAAAATGCACTTTCCATATAATCACCTCCTGTATTTTACGCAAGTGCTTATGCAGCCAAAGCAGCACTGTCGATGCATAACCAGACAATTCTCAACCCATATTTATGTCGAGCTCTCTTTAGCAACTATCTGAAAAAATAAAACTACATGGATTAAATATACTATTTATTTGTATACTGCCTTTGTCCTGTAAAGAGCCAAGGCAGTTTACACAATCCACTTCATTTTATTGTCTCAACAAATTGGTCAGTAGGTTAGGCTGAGTGGCAGTGACCGGCCCAAAGTCACCTAGTTAACTAGAAATGCCAACTAGAACCTGAGTATCCTGAGTCCTAGTCAAATACTCTTAAGCACTACAGCATACTGGCTCTCTTACCTAAATTACCTGCTTCTTTAGAAAATTATGTTTATAACCTCTTACATCAGTGATGAAGACCTTGTGGCCCTCCAATTGTTGTTGGATTTCAACTCCAGCCATGATCTCTAGCCATTGTGACTAATGATTATGGATGCAGGTTGTCCAATAATAGCTAGAAGGACAAAGCTTTTCCAGCCCTACCCTAAATTAAGGAAGTTGCTTGTTCGGGCAAGCTTTTAGCTAGCACATTCTTTCACAATCAAGGAAGAGATTATAAATGTTTGCTTCCAACTTTCAAAAGACCACAGTCTCTTAAGACATCCAAACCTGGAGTTGTGATTTGTTTAGTGAGAATAATCCAAGATCTGAAACCATGATCTGACCATGACATTTTTATTTTTTATTTATTTATTAAAACATTTTTATGCCGCCCCATTCACTGAAGCCTCGGGGCAGCTCACAACAATAAATTAAGACAATAACAATTAAAATATATACATTAGAATAAAATAAGCCGCCCTGGCCAAATAAAATTCAATAGTATTAGCATTTAAAATGCTGCTTAAATAAAAAGGTCTTCGCCTGGCGCCGAAAAACAAATAACGATGGCGCCAGGCGGACCTCTCTGGGGAGCGCATTCCATAACTTAGGCGCCACCGCTGAGAAAGCCCTCCTCCGAGTAACCACCCTCCTAATTTCCTTCACTGAGGGCTCCCGGAGGAGGGCCTCTCCCACTGATCTCAGGGGGCGGCTGGGCATATATGGATGTAAGCGCTCCTTCAGGTAACCAGGACCCAAGGACATGTTCTCACTAACCATAGTTAATCAGCCTTTCCCAACCTTGGCTCCTCAAATGTAGTTAAATTACAGTTCTGATTATCCTTGACCATGGTCATGCTGGCTAGGGATGATGGAGGTTACCATCCAACAACATCTGGGGACCCAAGATGGTTTAACAAGTTAAACAAGTCTGGTTTAACAAGCCACAATGTTTGAGTCTGGCCATCATGAGAAATTGCAGCTAGTGTAAAATTGGAAATGAGTATGTCTTGACTGCCTTCATTGGTGTGTGTAGAGAGATGAGCCTGAGATGCATGTAATGATCTGAATATATTATTCTCTGAATGTAGAGAGTCCAGAACAATAGAAATGTTAAAAGAAGAAGATAGGAATTGGATAGTGTTAGAAAGCAAGGCTGTAGAGGAAACAGAAAGGGTGATAGGGAAATGTAGCAATATAGAAAATACAGAAAGAAAGAAGTATGTGTGCATATGCTTATGTGAGAGGATACTGCCTAGGAGCTGCTCACAGTGAGAAAAACAGCACCACCCACATTTGGCTCACCTCCAACAGGCATGCAGCCCTTCAGTCAAAAAAGGTTCCCATTCCTGAAAAACTGAAAAAGATGTGCAATTGCAAATACTTGCCAAGTATGATAGTCACAGGGACTCTGTATAGTTATTTCTTACTTCTCTCATCAAGGCCAATTTCTTTTTTTCTAGTGATTCTGGAACTCTTGGCCTCTGCTTCTTCCTTTTGCTCTTTAATGCTTTTTCCTGCAGTTCCAAATGTACAAGTGCTTTGTTTTTTGACTTGTGCATCTCATGCCTTCGTACCTGGATAGTGGGAAGAGATTTCAAACTCAAACTTGAGCCAAGGAATAAATGAAGGTAATGAAGACAGAGCAATACATCTGAATGAAACTTATTGTTATGCCTTCGTACATCAAGTATGCTGAATTTGCAGACTACCACAAAAGCAAAAGTGCAATATTCAACTATGCAAAGTACAGACAAAATAGTAATCCTTGTTATTCCTACATTATCAAAACCCAAGTTGCATCTGTTAACAAAAGTAAAATACATCTCACCAGTAAGTGTGATAACCAGCTGCATGCTTACAACATACACTAGCTTTGAATGAAAAAATAGTGAGTTTTGATATCAGATTATCTTCCCTAGATACATCAAGTAGAAAGTGATGGCAGAAACCAAGGCTATAGAATATAAGGTAGCTCCCTGGGCTTTAAAAAGTAATATACTCTGATATAGAGTACTCTATAAACCACACTAAATTATGCTCTGAATCACATATCCATTTAAACTAATGTGCATACACTTGCTTCAAAATCCTACTTCCCAAATAAAAGGCTCCTGAATGGAATGTATTTGTGTGAGTGCATTAAAAAAGAGAAATATAGAGGGGGATCAGATAGCCAATGGAGCAGGTAAGAGGTAGCTGTCTTGGGATGTAGTAAAAGAGCCTATACTTGAATAAAAGGTCCAGCCAAGCACTCTGTAGCTTGAGCATTCATTGAATAAGTTCCACCAATCTAGTTTTTTAGGATTACGGATTTTTAACAAGCCTTGGATAAGTCAACATCTCAGATGCTTAGAATACATGCAGTCTGGGTAGAGCCCTGATATGTACTTTAAAAAAATAGCTAGGCTGCTACTTGGGACTATCAGAACAGGAATCCCATCATCATCACCATCTACTTCACTTGGTTAGTCACCAAATTCGAGTTGAGCAGAAAGAGAAGGTTCAAATTTTAACAACAGGGCACATATAGAGACTGCTAGCTTCACACATATCAGCAGCTTACCATGCACTGCTGTGTGTATACACTGTGCCAGGGTGCCTGAATGTGAATGAGCAAATGCCCATTTTGATGGAAACTCAAGCTCAAGCAGTGGAGGATGAGATTGTTGTGGAATCTCAACATGTCCAAGCAGCAGACCAAGGTCAGGAAATGTCTGGAAAGATATGGTGTGTGTGTGTGGGGGGGGGGGGGAATGACAAGTGGGCAGATGAGAGCCCTGGCTGATCTGCCTGTGGGAAGGGGGAGTTGAGGGGAAGGGTTGACAGCCTGGGCTGATGAGAGCCCAGGTCTACCAGTCCATGGAGAGGAGGTAGAACTGAAGGCTGGACACATCACACAGCAGGTAAGTCACAATAGAGAGCTCAGTACTTTGTTGGATGTCAAAGTTGGACAAGTTCTTCCTCCTGAAGCGGCACAATAAAGTTTTCTGGAAAAGGCATTAGTTGTTTACTCAGGAGAACCACAGCTCATGACACCCACCTTATTTCTCCTCAAACTCCAACATGAGATAAATAATCTTACAAACAGGTGAATGCTGGGCATGAGGAGGGAACAAGACCCTTCACAAACATGGCCATTTGTCTAAAACTTGAAACGCATCCATCACATTATATGTGACCGTGTCAGATCTAGTTTTAAAAGAATAAGTTCATCTGTTTTAAGGTCTAGTATGGCCTATAGAAATTGCCTCAGTATGTCAACAAAGACACATATCCAACTTACAAGCTCCTCAGGCGTTGCCCGATGTACTGTGAGATCATGAACAGTGCTCTGTAACAAAACATATTAAGTGTAAGAAAAGTGAAACCAAATCCATCAAAAGCAACATGATCTTCTGCCTATAGAAGTCAGTTTCCAATAACCAAACAAAATTAAGATCTAAGGGGCGGAGTACACATCATAGAAGACGTGACCTCAGAGTTGAGGGGGCCTGTGGCAAAGTCTAGTACTGTGATCAACCCCCAAAAATGAACTCTTCCATTAGTAGCACTGCCACTGATGCTTGGTTTTTAAATACAAAAATACAAGTCACCAAGCAACTTCTGTTTCTAAGCAGCCGCTGGCTACTATATGCTGCATGGTAGGCATGTCGTGAGCAGAGCCGGTTACAGCCGGGGATCAGACTAGATGGCCCGTGAGACCCCTTCTCACTCACTGTTTCTAGTTTCACTACCTTCAATATACCTCCACTGCTCTAAAAGTTGAGTCGTTCCTGGATAAGATAACCAACCTAGCGGACAGCCATTGAAACCTATTAAGAAACTCTGTCAGGGTATTTGGGTTCTGTCCTGAGCTTCGTTTCTTTCTAAATAATATAAACTGAGTGGTATGGAGAGAAAATAAAAAGGCACCAGTCTGTGGCAAGCCTGGGGAGAAGAATTGCTTCTCATTCCAAACAGTGTAATTGCAATGGCTTTTGCCTCCACTGCAGCTTAAGGTACATGCCCAGAATTCCACAAAAATCACTCACTAAGGATGCTGTGATGACTGGCAATCCCGCTCTAGCAAGTGTCCCTTACTACCACTCTGACAGTTGATTGAGCCATTAATTCTGGAAATTCAGGCAGACTTTTAAGGATTGGTTTGGATTATGGACATAAATTGTAATGGTGGGAAGATTTGGAAAGCAGGGAAATCACTCTGAAATACTGTTTGGAAGGGGCGTGAAACAAAATTAGGAATAAACAATCATTCCAGATTATAAACAAATAAGAGAAGGAGAATGTAACGGCTTCTGCTTTTCTCTGAAAAGACAACGCATACTAGAGCAAACATACTCTATGCATACTTTAAAATTCTAACATTTCAAACGCTTAGTCCAAACTATGAGAAACTAAATACCCAAAATAAATAAAAAATAGTGTGTAGAATACTGTAATGTAGGGCAGGGCTGGCAGCTTCTCTTTCTTTGATGGAGCAATTAGCGCAAAATAGAAATTTAAAACTTCAGAAGAATATAGCAAACTTTTCAAAATGGTGATGGTTGTTTGCTATATCTAATTCAGGTGAGGAAGCCCCAGTTTGTGATGCCCCACCTGCTCCTGAAAGAAGCACTACATGCCCTTTGCATATTCGTGCCAGGTAGAGCCAGCTCCTTCAGAAGATGCAGCCTCAGGGTAGCTGGAGCACCATGAAGGGGTGTTTCCTGAATCATTTGAGTCATTCTCGTTAGAAAAGGTAAGCAAGGGGCAGGGCATCATCACCTGAAAGTCCTTTGAACATGGTGGAGCAACAGTCATTCTTATAATAGTGTTCTTCTCTTATCCTAGACTGGAAAATATTTGCCAATGACCTACTCTCTCTTTTATTAAACTCCAAATCCTAAAGGAAACTCACCCACCAGCTCCATTGGAATTTCTAATTCGCACTGAGGCTTTGGCGACTTCAGGACTATGGAAATACTAAATTGTAATTCAGAGCAAGATGGGGCTGCAGCCTCCTTCACTCGCTCGTACTTACATCCCACTCCCGCTTGCTCGGGGGCTTTTTACTTCGGGCCTTGGTCGGCCTCTTCACAGCTCCAGTCGGAAAACGGCTTACTCTCAGCAAGGACATAATAACGACTCCAGAATAACAACTGCGGCTCCACTCCACTCTGTCAAGCAGCCTTGAGAGAAGCACAACGGAGCAGGATAACCCGGCCTCGGGCCACCGCCACCAACAGGCCTCAAACCTGCCGCGAGCCGGGCCCCGCCCTTCTCGCGCTCGTTACCACGGAAACCCCGCCTCGCCCGCGGAGGCCTGGCCGCGCGGGCAAACGCGAGAAGAAATTTTCCGGGGGAAGCCACGCCCTCTGCCCAGTGCCCCCCGCGACCCGACCCGACCCGAAGAAGGCTCGCTGTTGGTAGGAGTTACGTAATAACATCCACCCCTTTGTTGTTATTATTTTAGGATGGGTCTCTCGTAAGTCTTGTATACTGTGAGACCCATTCTACACTTTATGAGAACGGAGGTGGAAGAACGGCAGGGGGCTGGAGCCATATTTTTCAGTGGCCCCTTATATACAGTTTCTCCTGCCCTGTGAACAAATATAGCAAGGAATTGAATGCTAATCTCGCTGTGCCCAAGTGGTGCCCATGGACACCAGTGTACTTACAGACTCCACCTCACATGATATTAAAATGATTGTTATTGTTGGGTAAGGTTCACCCATTTATAATTACAATATAAAATAATAAAGCATAGAATTTCATTAGAAATCTAAAACGGAATGTTAACAATTTAAACTGCTAGGCCAGGTTCATTTCACACAGCTACTAAAAACAGGTGACAATACCACCTCTCAAATGCTATTTAGAACTGCTCCATGCCTCAGCATAAAGGGTAGTCTTTGCCTGGTCCCAAAAGGCTAGTAAAATTGGTGACAGGGTGCCTCAGTGATCATTCCATAATTTGGGGTCTACTACTGAGAAGGTCATCTTTTTGCTGCCAACTGAGCCTTGGAGATAGTAATTGGAGGAAGGACTCAAATGTTGAACAATGTGTGGGACAGCAGCCGGGAGAGGTGGTTCATCAAGTATTGCAACCCCAAGCCACTCTATGGGGAAAACCAGCACCTTGAATCCAGCTGGGAAGTGTGTAGGGAGTCAGTACAAATAGGACAGAACTGGTGTTTTATTTTGGGACATTCTGATTCCAATTGTCAGTCTGGCTGCCACATTTTATATAAGCTACAGATTCTGAACAGTCATACAAACATAGAAACAGAACCAGTAAGAAGGAGCCTCCTGGGCCATCTAGTCTGACCCTTGCTCCAGCTGGCTCTGCTCAAGAACATGCCTACCATGTGCATGCCCAGCCTATCCTTGAACACCCTCATGGATGGGGCTTCAGCCACCTCTCATGAAAGCCCATTCCATACCCTAGGGGTCCTAACGGTCTGGAAGTACTTCCTGACATCCAATCTGAACCTTGGTTCCTAAGTTCCATTGGAATGCGTTCTGCCCTCCTCCACAGGGGAAAACAGGTCTCTACCCACCTCAACGTTGCATGCCATCAAGTACCTATATGTTGGTAACAGATCCCCTCAGAGTCTACTCCAGTCTGAAAAGACCCAACTCCCTCAGTTTTGCCTCATACAGCTTTCCCTGCAATCCGGCCACCATCCTTGTGGCCCTGTGCTGCACCAATTCCAACCTGGCTATATCCTTCCTGTAATGTGGAGACCAGAACTAAATACAATACTCCAGTTGCAGGCAAAGGAGAGCAGTATAGAGTGGTAGTAATACCTCTCTCAATCGAGAAGCCACGCTTCTGGCTATGCAACCAAGGGTGGCGTTCGCCCTCTTGACCACCACATCACACTGCTGACTCATGTTTAGCCTGCAGTCAGCCAGTACCCCAAGATCCCTTTCACAAGTTCTGCTCTCCAGCCACTTGTCCCCTAATGTCATTCAGGCATAGGAATGACACCCATTCCTATGCCTGAAGTCCAAAACTTATTTGCATTGAATGCCATCCTGTAGTCTCCTGCCCATTTCCATAATCTCTCCAGATCCTTCTGGATCCAGAATACCTGCTCCTTAGTTGTGGCTACTGCCTCCATTTTAGTATTGTCTGTGAATTTGATCAGAAGACTGATCACCGCCTTTTCCAGGTCATTGATGAAGAGATTGAACAGGATCAGTCCCAGGACAGAGCCCTGGGAAACCCTGCTTGTCATCGGCCACCATCCCGATGATTCCCCACTAATGGTTACCTTCTGCTTTCAGTCTGTCACCCATGCCCTAATCCATTGGACAGTGCATTAGTCTATTCCAAAACTCCTCAATGTCGCAGTATTCTAGCCTAGAAATTGTCAAAGAGTAGATTGCTGAAACCAGGTTACTTTTGTCCAGATAAGATTGTAGCTGGGCCACCAGCTAAAGCTGAAAGAAAACATGCCATGCCACTGAGACCACCTGCATCTCCAGTAACAAACCTGGACCAAGGAGCAACCCCAAGCCATGGACCTGCTCCTTCAAGGGAAGTGCAACTCCAGTACAGGTTGCACACCCTCCAAGAAGAGCCACCACCAACAACATGTCAGTCTTGTCCAGTTCAGCTGTGTTCAGCTGCATCCATTGTTGCAATCAGGCACCAGATTCATAATCCACAGCCTTATCTGTGTTTTGTCAGCTTACTGATGGCAATTCACTGCAAAATTCCAGATGAACCCACTCAGCAGCTTCATGTAGATATTGAGTGGCATCGATCGCCTTCATAGCCCAGTCAATAGTTCCCCTTCTATTACCTATTATGAACCAAAAGAGGCAAGAATCCAGTACAGATGTGGTCATACAAACCTGTCCAAGCAACTTCTCAACCATCTTTGAACGGCACCATCTGAAACTCACCCAATAAAAATTGAGCAGACTGTATTGTAGGTACCTCACCTCATGCAGCTGCTACTAAATTGGAATCTAAGTAATGGTGGATGCAAGTCCTAGAAGTGCCCAACAAATATATTGCAGTGGGCCTCAAGATGCCCTTGGGATCAGCATAACATAGGTTTCAGATGAACCTAACAAGTTCTACTGATAGCAAAGTAAAGATTGAAAAGAGGCAGTGAGTTGCTGTTTCTTTGCCACCTTTGTTACCCCTATATGTGAGAGCAAGTGTGATTAAGAGCACAGGACTAGGATTCAGGCGACCTGGGTTCTAGTCTCCACTAGCCATGGAGCTGAGTGACAGATTCCCAGCCCAACCTACTTCACAGGGTTGTTATTGTGGGGGATAAGGCTGAGAGCAGGAAGAAAATGGTGCAAACTGCTTTGAGTTCATAAAAAGTGGGATATAAATATTATAAATAAATCTGATTGTAGACATATACCAGCACCTGCCTACACAAGAAGTTTTTGTCTGCAGTCATGTTGCCTGCTAATTTGTTTCTCTCTTCTGTGCCATATGAGCTCTACTCCAGAGAGGGTTCTCAGAAGCAATTGTATCAACTGTCCAGGTCATCTCTGTATTCCAGAGTTTAAGCAGGAATTTGACAGAACTGCCAATGAAGAGAGGAACACCCAGATGTAATAATGTGCTTTCTAAACAGCTATTTTTATTTAAGTTTTACTTAAATTATTTTTAGCCCATCTTTGAATAAAACTCTTAAGGAGAAAAAGAACAACAACTACAGGCAGCAGATATAGTAAAGAAATGTTATACAAGGACAAAAACACCCAAGTTTTCTAGGATATGACAGCTAAGTTGTTATAAAAACAAAATTATGCTGATATCTAACAGAGGCACTCGACAATGCTGGAATTCCATACCAATAAGGATACCTGCAAATCGTATCCCATGAAAGAGCAATCTACATGATTACCTCTCATCATGTAGTTATTATGTTGCTGCCCTCTCTCTACTTAACGCGGAGCCTGATGGTCAAGCTAGAGAAGAGTGAAGCAAAGAAAGATCCCAATAACAATGGAAAGGTATAGGTGAAGGTCCAATGGAAACAGCAGCAGGGGAATTGTGGAAGGGAAAACATAGTGTCCACCTATCCAAACTCTGATAGGTTGCTGGCCCATCAGATGAGCATCGACTTAACGACACTGTTTTAATAAGATATTATGGTTAGCAATTATTGCAATACAAAGTCATTTAAGGAATTAGCTATGAAAAGCTATGCCTTCTTCCAAACATTCCCAATAATGTGCTGTTTGTAACATTGCAAAAGGAATATATGAGTTTGCATGACATACTTGGTCACAATGGCTATGAAGCTACTGCATCTGTGTGGGCTGTTGTAGGGTTAGCTTAACCCTTTGTGCCTAGGTATGTTGTACAAACCCAGATTCACTGAGGCAATCTGTTAGCGAGCAGTAAGCAAAGAGCAGTGAAAAACAGATGCTTTTCCTGCTTTTGTGGGTAAACTTTCTTCCCAAGGTCTGCCTAGCAGCACTTTCTGCTAATTCCGCTGAAGTTTGCTTTCCATCCCAAACCCTGCATAGCTACTGATTGCAATGTGCTGGTCTGTGCCTGCTGTCACGCTCCTTCTCCACCTCAATGAAGTATTTTTCTGCCACTGCTTTTTTTTCCAAGCAGTAGAAAAACACAGGAAGGCAATATCATCTAGCTCTCCTGTAAATTCCATGGAAGAGGCAGGGTAATTGCATGAGTACTTCATCTAGCATGGGAGCAAATAATCTGTGTGAAGTGCTTAAATAACTGGACTCCTTAAGGAGACCAAGAACATTGAGGTCTGTCTCCTTTACAGGCTTGTGACAAGGGTCCTATACCCACAGTATGGGGGAAAACAGAGCAGGGTGGGAAGAGTCAGCATACAAACTACAACTACATTTAACAGGGAATTGAGCTCCTTTGAGGTTAGTCAGCACTTCCTGAGATTCTCAGGATCCAGTGATTTCTTAATTTTCATTGATAGAAGTTCATCTCTGAAATATCTTTATCCTCTGAGCTTGGCAGAGGATATTCCCAGAAGTTCTAGCTCAACCATTACAGTGGTACTTTGGTTCACAAACACTTTGGTTCATGGCCAACTCAGGTCACTAACAAAAATTTCATAAAAATTTTAACTCAAGTCGCGAACTCCGCATTGGGTGGCGACCATGATTGTGGCCATCTCCTCACCCCCCCCCCCCGAGTGGGGAGATGGCCGCATTGTGCTGGGGGTTGTGGGGGGGAGATGACCAAGATCGCATCCATCTTTTCTGCAGGAGCGGAACT